CTTTGTAAGCAATATGTTTGTTTACATCACATACTGGTCCTCATGAACTTTTGCTCTGATACGTAGATGCTGCAGTGCGAACGTGAGTATACTTTGGTAGTACCTATATGAACCCACCACTTATTGTTAGGGCAGGACCGGAAAGCCAGACATTATCGCAATAGATCTCCTCGCTCAAATAGAGGTTACCTTGACCTCAGCACTCATCTCCGATGTGCAACTCGCCGGCATTCAGTGCGTCTTGTTATGGAAGGTTCGATCTGGGCTTGAGCAGTGTGTACTGCTTACCATGCCTTGATGTGGCCTGAGTTTCTGACTTTTGATTTACTCAGGGCCACGTCCTTGATCAGTCTTCTCGTACTTTACGTCGTGACGACAGGAGTTCTGACCAGGTGGGTCTGAATACGCGATCTCACGCACACACAATACTTAGTTTAACTACGCCTGAATCAAGTGTTGTCGCAATCGCGACACTAGCCATTGTAGGTAACGTATCTTCGGAGTTGGTGCGCTTTCTAAATCATATGTAGATGCTCAGGATGCGGCATTCGTTTGCCTACGATGGCGCATTTTACATGCTCAGTAGAAGTAAGTCAGCTTGTCTATGCCCACGCGCATCTCAAACCTTCTCTATCTGTTCCCGCAGTGTACTTTAGCTCTCTTCTCGCCACACTCAATCGCCGCGAGGACTTTCGGGGATGGAAGCGTCCACCGGAACCATCCAAAGACATTGAGGTGTTCCCGCTCCAGGCGACCGGTCGGGGTCGAGTCGAATTCGGCCCCGAAACCCTGGAACAGCACAGTGGCAGGCCATTGAACACCTCAGTAAGTGTGCCACCGCCATATACGATGAGGATCGCAGCACCGCCTGTATTTAAACGCTTTTTTTTCAGGCGCATATGAATCCACCGCCAATCCAAATCGACATCATGGTTGAAAGAAGCATAAGCCTAGATACGCACCGGAGGGTGAGAACTCCTTCACTTGAGTATATTGCAAAAGCTCAACCACGGTTCCTGATTCATCAGGACCCTCCTCACGTAGGCCCTTCTGGTCCCAAAACTCAGCTATCTTTTGAAAGTTATCAGGACACCGAGATGTCGAACGCCTATAACTAAAGCAAACGATATTTTTGTCTTGATTCATTCCTACGGGGATCAGAGAACAATCAGTACAGGCAGGACACTTGTTCCTTGTAGTTCATCTTGATCAATGTGGACAATACCGACTTCGAATGATGATGGTGTTACTTATTTTCGTATTTGTACCACCTAGTAGCCGAGGTCGAGATGCAAAGATAACCTATATTTATGGCCAAGAGAACCTACGAACTGCGCGTGTTGTTCGAATTGAAACAAATCTCGCGTAACATACATGATGCATCTCCACACCGACCAGCTTTCCTGCCTTGCGATAGGATTCGTCTAGGACATTTTGGTCGTCGATACCGAAGGTGGCGATATCGCATGTGGCGGCTAGTTGCTCCACATGTTTTGGTAGTGGGTTGGAAAGACTCATACGACTGACATGCACGGCAGTGATATCAGTAAGTGTAGGAGAGCTGGCAAGGACAGAACGAACCGAGCCTCTTCATCCTTACCGTAAAAGAGAATGATTCAGAGATCCTCTGGCCGAACAGCAAGCTGCAACGGTCCCGCAAGAGAATGAAGGTTCTTTGCCCATTACTAGGGGAAACCAGTGGTAAAAGACGAGGTGAAGCGCAAGCGTCAGGAGCCGCAATGAAAAATCTCCGCAAGGCACACGGTGTCTTGGGTTTGCACGGAGTGGCGTTCATAGCACGAGGCTGCGGTGACGCTTCGGCATTGCTTCGGCTGCCGGCACCGTGCCCTTTGAAAATGGGTGTCAGAGCCCCAGGCAGGTGATGTTCGTATTCTTCGCTCATGTATGTTCTGACATTGACAACGTGAAGGCTGCATACTTGCAGGCGACTAGCCTCGTTTCTCCTCATATGTGCGTCTCATACCTTACTTACTTTTACTAGCTTGCCCGGGGCCGCCGCCATGCTTTGACTCGTCGGTGAACATTCAGGCAGCCTTTCTCGAGTCGGATCGACTGTTTTCTTCTGATATGAAACTCGGCATCCATCGAGTCATAAAACTCCTCCCTTCCTTCCAGGGATTTCATTTTCCCGAGCTTGAGAAGGGTCCGATATCCGACTCTCGATTCATCCAACGGGTGGCGCACAACACATATATAAAGGCTGCTCTTTGGCTCGTTCCAATTTCCCCTCGTTCCTGGTCTTCCCCATGCCTTCCGCCTCGTCGTCCGCCTCGTCGTCCGTCTCGTCCACCGACAGTGACTCCTCATCTGAAGCCGGTGACCTTAGTCCTCTGCACAAAGAGCTTTTAGTGAAACTCGGCGATCTTCTGAGGACACGACCTTCCTTCAGTCATGGAACAATGCAGCTACCCTCACAGGCTTTCACTCTCTTCTACGGAGACGGCCAAGATTTTCGGTGAGCCTGAACCTCCTCAGTTTACTCATATTCACTGAGATGCTCACTTGACCATACTCCGTACACCTTGTTCAAGCCGCATCAACCTCTCCAGCGCCACTGACACAGAGCTCGCACATCTTTCAGACGTGTGCGCAGCAGCTACCTTTGGTCGGAACCAACAGGATGTTCTCGACGAGTCATATCGGAAGGCTCGCAAGCTCGATTGCAGCGAGTTCGCCTGTCATTTTGACGCTGAACGCTCCGGGCTTGTTAAGGTAGCTTGTGGAGAGCTTCTCGTAGGCGAAGACAGCACCCGCCCGATCAGGGCAGAGTTGTACAAGCTTAACGTATATGGTGCGGCGGTATCACACCTGTCCTTGGTCGTTCGAATAACTAATAACTCGACTACGGTCTCCGTCACAGGCCCTGGATCATTTTTCAAGCCGCATCAGGATACACCGCGTGGGACGACTATGTTTGGGTCTCTTGTCGTTGTCTTTCCCACTCCTCACAAAGGCGGTGAACTGGTGTTATGTCCCAATGACGCTGAGGAACACACTGTGCTTGACTTTACTGCTTGGATGGGTAAGAAAGACGGGCCTTCCATCGCCTATGCTGCGTTCTTCAGCGACGTCTCTCATGAAGTGTACGAGGTTAAACACGGTTTGTCCACCTTTTCACTGCTGTTCAGCTGCTTAATACACTCGCATATTGATGAATTTTCGCATTCTGTGTAGGCTATCGTGTATCTCTCACGTATAATCTTTACTACGACGACCCCTCGAAAGACGTTTCTGCCACTGAAAAGACGTCCATCGTCATCGAATCCAACATCCTAGAGACTTCGATCGCCACCTCCCTCACCGAAATACTCTCCGAGCCAACGTTCCTCCCCAAAGGCGGTCTCCTTGGGTTCGGCCTCCGCTATCAGTACCCCACCGACAGCGACGAATACTTCAAGAAGCAGAATATCATCTCCCGCCTCAAGGGCGCTGATTCCACCATATCTCGCCTTCTATCTCAGCAAGGCCTGAAGCCCTTCCTCATGGCCGTATACAAAGCGAATGACACAAGCATCATGTGCGATCACTTCGTCGATTACCTTGGGGACCTCGGGGACGAAGACAACCTCTGCGATATTCTTCTGCGGGACCATCGTGGAATCGTCATCGATAGCTGGGCAGACGCTTACCCCCGCGATCCTGCCATTGAAGAGCCCGTGACGTGGATCACGGAACCGACGTTTCTCAACACTGACTCGAAGGACTATACGACGTTTGGGAACGAGCCGTTGAGTTTGTGCGCGTATGCGGATCTGGTGCTCATGGTTAGGGTTGGTGCGCCGTCTGAGAGAGCTCGAGTCCCGAAGATCAAGCGAACGAAACGGGTGTACGACGGGTATCTAAGAACATATCACAAAATCTTCTATTACAGTTCGGATTCCGAATGAAGGCCTCGACTGCAGCCGATACGATGTAGAATGCAATTCCCCTTAGGAGAGCCATGATTTAAGTTTGTACGAACTGTCCTCATTTACGTCCGTGTATATCGTCTCGAATGGACTGTCCCTGCTACCGTAAACGAATTCTACGAGTTGGGATCAGGATTGTGCGCCACCGGGCCACATCACCTCGAGCTCCGGCAGTTTCCGTTCGCGGCTCTCTTGCAAGTGGCCGAAGCGGGAAGAGCCTTGAAACTCTTCCTCATCAGCGACCTCTGAGATCGACTATGGGTGTCTTCATCTTGGCTCGCCTTGATATATATATATATATTCTATCTTCGCCTCAGCTGCTGTACCTCCGCTCTTCCGTTTACGGTCGCGCTGAACCTTGGAGACATGTTAGAGACTCGACTTCGTCCCTAAAGACGATTCTGGCTGTGGAGTTTATCTATTCTCCCTGACTCTCTTGATTGCAGAGTGATATGCTGCTACTTCAGGATAAAGGAGGTCCGAAAGAGGTTCATTGCCTAGTACTCTGGGGTATGGAGCGACATATTGTCTACGGCGCCAGTTTGGAAGCTAGTATGTCTTTCTTTCCCATGTCTTCCCTCTCTTTCCCACTCCGCGTCCCCTTCACTCCCCTTCATTGTATGACTTTAGGGACGAGAAGTCATGAAACATATAGGCCCTTTTCTTGTGCTACTGTATCATGCTTCTCTACGGGCGGAGCCTCGATAAGTACAGTGTGCTTTCTGCGATTCGAATATACACAACGGTCTCGACTCCATCTTCACTCGATCAGGTTCGAAGAGACGGATCGCGATCACGGACGACTTTCTAGACGACGACGAAGGAGGTTAGTTTTTGGCTAGATGACTCCACCTTCCTTTCGACTAGCTGACTTATTGCGCCACCGATACGCCACACAACACTGATTTGTGACCGTTTTATTTCTCCTGTTGTGATGCCGGCTCAGTGAGCATCTCGCTGACAACCCTGTCCCCAGCCTTCGTGGCTCTATGATATCGTGGATTGCTTTGAGCTTACTTCTGTTGCAGCGAACGTGTCCGACGTTGTCCAGTAGGAAGTTGGACTAAATTGAGACACTGATCCAGCACTACGAGGTAAAGGCGCTCGTTTCATGGATCGTAATATCTACGCATCATGCTCTTCCATACTACGGAGACGAAGAGTGGTGGGACATATAGGATGGGTATGGTGTGTTCTTCGTGTGGCACTGATACTCCGTTTGGATAATACGGGCGAGTGATCGCGGAGAATTCTGCGGTCGAAGGTTTAGATGTGTTGGCTGTATACGATGAGGTTGAGCATGTGAGAAGGGGCGTGTGGTATAGGGTGCTGTGAGGCCAGGCTGCGACGGCGGGACGATGCTGTCCCCGGAAAGAGAAAGCTGAAGATACGTCTATGAAAAAAATTCAGCTCATCTGTAGCTTTCTCTTTAGATTGCATTGATTACATCTGGCGGGTACTCTACGTTCCAGAGGCGTAGTCTTTGTACACATGTTGGAGGTGTTCGCTGTGGCACTTCTATAAATATGGACCTACAACTCACTGATCCCACGCGACGAACCCGTGGAATGCGCGATCTATAAGCAGTGCATCAAATTGATGCGCCGGCTTTTTCAGCAATTTCCAACAGACGGCGCAAATCAATAGATCTGCGATATTCAGCAGCTTTGCGCTTGGACACTTCGCTTCGCATTCACTCGCCACAGGCTATTGCTTTCACCGACTGTCGACACGGATTTTTGGCAGAGGAATGAAAGGCGCGATGGTATGTATGGACGACCATGGCAACGTGGCCCGTCCTGGCGTGGCGCGCAGTTTTTGTTTACAGATCCGGGGCACGCCTTCTCAGCCTCGTGTTGGTGGAGTCCCGCTTTTATACAGGCAACCATTCCATTTTACACTCTTTTCTTCCCCCTCTCTTAGACAGGCCACTACACGGCCTCTACTCCCTCTCGCTCTCTGTTCTTGCTTTCGGCTGTGCCGAACACTATCGCTGTTCTCCGTTGTATAGAGACAATCCCTGCCTTTGTGCTCGTTGACGACCTATAAGTATACGCTTTCGCGTGCGATACCTTCGAACGGCGGCACCATTCACCAATCCCATTCACATTCCCATACAACATGCATCTCCCCACATATCTCATCCTCCTTGCTCTTGCGCAAGCATACCCAGCTGAGGCCGCCCACTCCAACATCTTCAGGCGCGCAACGGAAAGCTTCCACAAGGTCGCACTGAAACATAGCGCTGGCCTTGCACGCGACCTTCGAATCGCGTTTGGTGGCCTTCTCGTCGACAAACGTTCTGACCATCGTCTGGTTGCACGATCTAGTACTGGTCAACAGCAATGCGTCGTGAGTCTGCAGGGGGAGTCAGACGGCTCGGGCTCCGGTCTGGGTGCAAACGCTACCAGCGCTACGAGTGGACATGCTAGCGCAACAGCGAGCGCGGTTCCTTCTACGGCCACGAAGACAGGGTCTAGCGCTACGCCTTCATCGACGTCGGCTTGGAAGGTCGCACAGAACTGGGTGAGTCGTTTCCTTCACGTGTCTTCGTGGAAAGAGGGCTGAGGGTGTTACCTGGACTGTTTGTGCTGGACGGTTCGCTAGGAAGGAGACAATTTCTTTTCGGGCTGGGATTTCTGGACCTTGGCAGATCCCACGAATGGTGAGTCCATTTCTATCTATACTATCCCGGCGGTGCGATGCCTAAATTTGCTTCCGCGACAGGAAATGTCAACTACCTGAGCGGAAGTGCTGCTGTGCGTCTATTCGTTTCCCAGAAAAGGAAGTCTTGCTTATCCCATTGTTTCCAGGCTTCGGGCAACTTGACGGGGATCAACAGTGCGGGAAATGCCTACATGCGTGTCGACACTACGGACACTGTTACAACGAACCGTAACTCAGTACGTTGGATTCCCGGGTTTGCTCCTTGGGTTTGTGGCTCATTATGGATCGACAGGTTCGGATCACGACCGAGTTCTCATTTGACCAGGGATTGATGATCATGGATGCCGTTCATATGCCCACTGGATGTGGCACCTGGCCAGCTTTCTGGACGAACGGTATGTACTTCCTTCTTTCTGCTTTCCCCTTGAACTCAAAGGGTTCTGCCTTGAAGGTCCAAACTGGCCTGCAGGTGGTGAGATTGACATCGTCGAGGTAAGTTGATCGATAACCTATGGATTAATCAAATCGCCACTTACGAGCGAGGGATAGGGCGTGAATGACTATACGAACAACCAAGCCACGATCCACACCAACCCAGGTTGCAACCTACCCTCGTCGTCGTCCTCTACGCTCGGGATCACGGGCACCATCGTGGGCGGCACGAACTGCGCCGCTGCGGAGACAGGTAACCAAGGGTGTGGTGTTCGTGCGGTTGAGACTAACTCCTTCGGTGCTGCCTTCAACGATGCCGGTGGAGGAGTTTACGCCAGTGCGTCCCGTTGACTATATATCCCATATCAATCCATCCTTTCTGACGCTTTTGACCTAATATAGTGAAGCTCGATTCGTCCGGCGTCTCTGTCTACTTCTGGACTCGCTCCGCCATTCCCTCCGACATCACCTCAGGCTCGCCGGACCCCGACTCTTGGGGAACACCCATGGCCGACTGGCCCACCACAGACTGCACCACCGCAACCTACTTCTACGAGCAGGTCGCGATCTTCGATACGACGTTGTGTGGTGATTGGGCCGGAACCGGGTGGGATACGACGGGCATACCAGGGCAGGATCAGAGTTGTGCGACGAGGACGGGGGTCAGTACGTGTGAGAGTTATGTACAGAATCATGGGTCGAGTTTCGATGAGGCTTGTGAGTGCTTTTCCCTTCTTCATGTTGTGTGTCTGGGATGGGCGCGTGGAGTGAGGGTTGTGTGGCGTTGTGCTGACGTGTGGCGTGGCCATGTTCTTTGTAGATTGGGAAGTGAAGAGCGTCAAGATCTATCAGACCTCATAGAACCTTCTTCAGTCCTTCTCTTTCCGGCTCGTCTTCACACCTCTGTATCAATACTCGCCATGGTCGCCTATTATTCTCCAGTAGCATCATCCATTCAGGTCCAAGGCTCTACCATTATTCACGCATTCACGCACATACTTATTCACGACATCAACGATCCCTTCCTTGCATTCACCTTCAACTGATCGATCCATTCATCCCTCCTCGCACGTTCTCTCTTGGTATATTTGCTTTACTTCACTTTACTTATCGGAGGTTTATTGTCTTATGGTTCACGTTCTCCCTCTTCCTTTGGGCTTGAAGCCCTCCATAGTCCCGTCGCGCCTTCGCTTCTGGTGGAGGCGCGTCGTGGACTCACTTTCTTCCCCTGCTTTTCTGTTCTTGGGATTTTGTGCATAGTCTTTCTTTATACTTCTCTGGTATATGTGTATTTACTTATGTCCATAGATGTCGTGGTGGTTGTGAAGGGCTCGTACATACCGTAGTGTGATCGGGACTGATAGGGTTCGGAGATGGGGAGATGGTGGAGGTGCCGCCGATGAGCCGGGAAGACGGGGTTGAGGGGGTGGTCTGGTTGGAGGGTGTTGGATGCTATGTTATATAGATCGAGCTGCCACGATTGTAATGATAGGAATAAATGGTGTTGATTGGTACATAAGTTGCTTTTCAATATTGTTCGGCTCACTGTCTGGTTTTTAGACAAGCAGTGTTGGCACTCGACCGTCAAGTCCCCCAGACACAGGGTGTCAAGTTGGCTTTCGGACGCGTGGAGCTCGTTGCCTTAAAGAAAGCATGGTTGCTCTTGCTTTAAAATTTTTACAGAAGGTTGATAGGGGGTTTAAAGATATTGAGTTCAAAGAGTTTGAGCGAATAGTGTGAATTCTTGAACTCGACCCCAGCGTCCGGGGGACTTGATCACAGTCAAGTGCCAACACGGCAGACAAGGGTGGCGCGCCACATACATTGTTTGTCCTTGTTAGGATCCAAAGCCGTAGCCTTGTTGGGGAGTCAAATCCTCTGAATCATACCTCCTGGTTTCCTCTCATCCAGTTAACTTGTGATCTCTTCCAACCTACATCACCTACAATCCCACATGAAGAACTACGCGCGACTCTTTTTCTGGTAGTTCTTTCTGGAAAGAAGATCTATCCACCCATGGCCTGCGTGCAGTAACCTCGACAATTTGCTGAGTGTCTCATATACGGTATGCCTTCCCGTTGTTTTGGCTCTCTGGATTGCGACTCGCTGCTCGTATGGTGCGAAGCACTTACTCACCGCATAAGTCGAACACCGGGAAGACCCGGTCACAGGAGGGTCAAATTCGCCTCTAAGACTTATCTGTCTTGTCAAAATGCTCCTTTTGATGAAAGGAAGAGATCCCCAAGACAGATTTCCAAAATAATTAAAACTGAGGGACTTTCAAAGTTCCCACCCACCAGATTTGGCGGGTTTCAATTTCTCCCGCCAAACAATTAATATTTAATAGAATTGTTTATTATTTAATAGAATTGTTTATTATTTATGAGAGTCCCGGGTTTTTTAAATATGCTCCAGGAATTTTCTTTCAATAAACTGGAATTTCGACCTCCCGAGCACAAATTTGGCGGTTGAATATTTTATGCGGTGACTAAGTGCTTCGCACCATACCACAGTGCTGGTAGATGCTTCCATTCCTCGGCACCGTCATGCTCTCACAAGGCGGACATACTCTGTGGCGTGCCAATCGGAATCTTCGTGCGCAGAAGGGGCGTCATATGAGAAGAGAGGACATAAGGGCAGCTTCTTTCATTATCCGCCTCCCACAACAGAGCCCCTATGCAGCCCTATACATATCGACGAACTCAGTGTCGGCAACTGCCATCGCACTCTTTGTGCGACACCGGCGACAGAAGCACTCGCCCCTCTATGTGCTCCAGCTCCATGTTCTGCTTTGCCCGAACCTTTCGATGCGTTATATGTGGGGGAGATAGCCGTATCGAAGCTCCGATTTGGATTGCTAAGGCTATATATGCACACAGAAGAGACACTATAAAGTATTGTTTCTTTCGTGCTAGGTGTATCATGTCGGCTCTCGTCGAGAGCCGTCCGACTTCTTGAGGAACTCGCGATCACCGGTCAAACTCGATCTTGCTTGGGAGAAAGAGCATGTCTTTGACTTACCGCTCTGTCGGCACTCACCACCTCCAAGGGCCCGATGTCCTACCCGCGTGTGGCTCGGTCAACTTGCTGCCTCCTCGATAAACCATCTCAGAACCATATCATCGAGCGCTCGGGCGGACCATACTTTGTCTGTGCGGTCTTTTTGATAGGAGCAGGGAGTACACTTGCTGCCTCGATCTTGTAAACCTTCTACTTAACCGTGCTTATGTGGTCTGTCTTATCCCCGGCAGTACTCACGGTGTCCATGATGGGCCTATCGGGCGCTCGCCTTGCTTGCGATTGCATCAATGCGTTGACTGGGGACTTTAGTGGTGCTCTCCTGATCATGCTTCTGCCATCGGAAGTACCGATAACTTCCTTTGTGCTGCAAATGAGGCTCCATACGCACCCACACTAGTTTGGATCGCCGATATATGCCCGAGTCACAGGTTTTCGCTGGTCCTGGAGTTTTGACTCAGCTGCTTTGTACAGTAAAGACAAAGTACTCGTTCATCGGTCCCGGCAGTAGACCATGATCAGTCGCTTGTTACATGGTGATATATGGTCTGGTCTGAAACCACTCGATCTCTTGAATCTCTTTATGTGAAATCTCCATGGATTCGATGTGAGGAAGGTGCCACTGGCGTCGCTCGCGGAGATGGGCGTCCGTTACTTGTTTACCCCTTTGAACGGTCCGTCATGTCGCGTGAGATGCAATGAACAAGTACGAGTAAGAACCCACGGGTTGGTTCTGCCATTTGCGTTCGTTGGCTCACAGGCTCCTTGGAACGACGTTCCTGCTTTATCGCAGATAGCCTAAGCCCTTCAGATGCATAAGCCTTTGAGGCATTGCTGGGTGGATTTGTCCTACTAGAAGGCTTGAAAATGGGACTGAGCGATACTAGCATTTCATGTTACTGGAGGCGGTACGAAACCTTAGGGCATGCATGAAAGTGTGGTCTCCGGCTCCGCTATACCCCGCCTGTCGAACGTCATTGGAGAGCAAGCTCTCCATGAATCGACGTAGAGGGTTCGAAAAACTCGTGGGTGTGTCGAACAAGACGCATCCCGACGTTCTGGCATCCCATGTGAAGGGTTCACCCTTGAGAGCAAGCGAGTATGGTTTGAGTGGCAGGTGCAGCGGTCGTCCTATCTGAGGTTCTTTTCATTAGCTATACGTCTGAGTATCGACATCTGCGCATATCTACGGAAGGTTTCGGGAACGGAAACACAGGCATGAAACAAGAAAACTCACCCCTGATGACCTGCGAGCAAGCTGCCCAGCCCGTCTATAGTACTAGTGGAGCCACGAAGAAGATCATATTTCGTCCATCCGTGCCCCCGAAATGATATCCCGATCGGAGTAGCACTATGCGTAGGTAGCACAAGAGGTGAGTGCCACGATTGTGCGTGATAAGTTTGCCCTCTAATTTTGAGTTTTTCCGGAGGTTATCCATACGTCAATATAAGGACCCCACTAGAGGTATTGCACAACACGGCATGAACAAAGTCCTGTGGGTCAAGCGGCCAAGCCCGGCGCGGCAAGTGCATTGCGGAACTTGGACATTCAATGGCTCTTCGTCTTTCTCATCTCTTCCGATTCGATAAGGTAAACATGCCTGCTGGAACTGGATAGCACAACAAGGAGTCCAAACGTACGCTATAGTGGGCACCTCACTCAGCCGACGCCCCCGAGCAACTCGATTGAACCTCGAAAGGCTGCAACAGCCGGGCAAAAAAGTCTCCGCAGGCCCTTCGTGGAATCCCCAGGAACCATCGGTCCAAATAGTGTCGTGCAAAGGACTCTTCGTCGCGCAGGGAACAAACCGACGAGTCCGAGCGGCGATGGCCACGTGAGGGCCACGCGCAACCGCATATCTTTGGCCGCGCTGGAAATTCTCAGGATGCATCATCATCCCGCCGCGCTGAGGCGAGCGTCACTTCTCTGAGCCAGATACTATTGGACCTTTGGCGACGGTACCTGGGAGTAGACGTAAGGATGTTGTAGCCGGAGATCCTCCATGTGGTGCCCGAAAAGCGTCCGTGGCGACACTGAGCTCATACATAGGGATCGTCAAGCCTTTGCCGGTCCAATGTTTGACTTTCGCTCTCTCGCTGTTTCTTCGACCGGCTCCGCTCCTTTCATCCCACAAGCATAGCACGCAAAACCTCTCATTTTGTCCCAGCCTTCTTAACTATATACCCTCTCGGGCACTTGTAAACAGTTGGTCAGCCGTCTCATGAACAAACTCACGCTCTCGAGTGACGATCAAGACACTAGATTATCTCGTTTTACCTCACGTACGGTCGTAGGGAGTGTCATCAGGCTATCATTCCTCGAGGTGCGTTTTGTTTCATTTGACGTTAATTCTGCCTTGCTCATCTCCTTCTGACCTTCCAAGTGATATGCACTCCGACACATGGAGCTTACTCTCGAGGCATACGCTCTAATAGCAAAGTTAGTAGGGGGTCGAGCAGATCTTTGCTCTCTTTGTCGGGTCTCTAAAACCTCTCAACTTGCGGCGGAGCGTGCCCTCTACAATACTATCCACCTCGCAGATCCCGAAACAGCCTGCGTCCTGTTCAATCTCTTCGCCGAACAGCCCCGTGTCTCGCCACTCGTTGTGGCACTATCGATTTCCCTTGAAGATGACGACGAGGCTTCGAACGGTACACCACCGGCCCTACCTTCCGATTACTGGGAGGTTGTCTCCGGAGGCCTTCAACATCTCCCGTATCTTCGATTCCTTCACATATACATTGACGATGGTAGCGACCCTCATAACGCATGGTGCCTCAACTCATGCCACTTTCAACTTCAGACTTTCCACTGCGACCTATCCTGGGACGCGTCACTCGTTACCTTTCTCTCTAAGCAGAACGAGATCACCGACTTATACATCGCCGATTTTAATGAAGATATCCCCGAAAATGTATTACTCATCCCCCACTCCCTTCGTGGAGCCCGGTCGCTACCTATCCTACACAATGTCGAATGCACCTTCACCGAAGCAGTCGGCGCGCTTGTCCCCGGTCGCCCAGTGACCCGTGTCAAGACATGCTTCTCTCGCTCTGACATCGCAGAAAAACGGGCCGAAATGGCCCTTTTAATCGCCAACTTACACCTCTCAACCCAATCCTTGCTGTCAATCAACGTCGCCGATTCTTCGTATACCTCAGCCTTTTCACTCGAGTTCCTTCGGAGCTTGGTAGACGCTATCAGTCCCGATCCTGCGCTTCGTTATTTGGGTGTGCTGGCATTCCCTGTAGATAGTAAAGAGGTCGGTTTTCATACATTTTATCGTTCATTCCCTCCACGCATCGCTCTTCTATTTCGACATAACCTTTATTCCGGCTCTTCTGACTCGTCTTTCTAGCGCTTGATGTTATACGGGTATCTCCGCCGTCTTCCTTATCTACGATGCCTTGAGCTCGAGATATCCGAATGGGATCCGCCACCCCTCACGCCTCTCGCCCAACGTTCTCTCGCAAGAGAACTGCGACTGTACTGCCCCCTGGTCGAGACGGTCATCTTTACCTTCGACTTTGAGCCCATGGTACTCAATGCTGTTGGTGGAACATGGGAAACTACGCCTGAGAACTATGCGGACGCCTTGTGGCGAGACTTTTAGACTCCATCATGATGTGAGTGCTCTTGCCTGGACTTCGAGCTGTTTCCTCCACGTATAGCTGTTGTCTTACTTTCTCCCCTCACTTCTTAGTTTAGCGCTATGTTTATTGGCTTGCTTTCATGTATCAATATCTCTCATCGGTCTGCGCCAGAGCAAATTGTACAAATTAGCTATACCTCTGGTTCGAGGGGCAGTTCGTATACACCACGGACTCCGCTGTCTTCGTTTGTATTACTTACCCTGAGTACACGTAATGTTCACATCACCTGTGCTTCGCAATTTGGTTCGCACGATTCGTGAATTTACACCATATTTATTCATTGATCTGGAACTGCTGTCAACGTCTTATTTCGTGTCGCTGGTGGATTGCCTCCCAAACCATCACTGAACCCGTTGTTATTGGCCGTGGAAATTAGTGACTCAAGATTATTGTCTCGCCATTCAGAGCGGTTTGCATAGCTTCTCGACAAACAGTCTCGACCCGTGTTTTCAAGGCGCTAGTACAACTTGCGCCAAGTTACTAGCATTACGGCACATTGTATGAGACTCGCAGCCCGGAGACTCCCTCGACGCGCGCCACGCGGCGGCCGCGTGGCTTACAAGTTGAACTATCGCGGTCAATCTGCGCTTCCATTTTCATTTCATTTCGCTACACTCTCCATCCCGGTCCTCGGACGACCTGAAAGCAGCTACAATCAGCTCTAGATCGCATATGTACAGGTATGTACCCACCGCTGGTCGCATAACGATGCACTCGCAGCCTGTGTCTCATTTGGTTTTCAGTATGTCGACATCCGAGTCAGCTGTGCAAACACAACTCGAGGCAGTGATTGATTTTGGGTCAGATATGGCACAAACTGAACCTTGTATGCTTGAGTTTGCTATGATGGTTCAATCATCGCTCACGCGACGTTATTCAGCTGTGGTCACCTCCGTGGATATCCGACCTATCAGTGCAGACGAAACGGTCGCCCTACGCCATGCAGTCCTGTGGCCGAACGTTCCCATTGATTCGGAGATCATCCGTCTACCCGAAGACGACTCGGGCTATCATCTGGGTGCGTTTGTTCAAGGAACAGGGACTCCCGTGGCCGTCATATCTGTCTTCAGGGAGGACATGGCACCCACTTTGTTTCCGGTACGCTCCACAGACGCCTCCAGCTCGGAACAATCGCACCCAGTCTCCTTTCGCTTTCGCAAGTTTGCATGTTACCCTGCCTTCCAGGGCCGCGGGATTGGCAGCGCGCTATTAGCTCACACCATGGACTATTGTCGCACTGATATGGGCGCTGGGCTCTTGTGGTGCGATGCGAGAGTGACGGCTGTGAGCTGGTATGAGAAGAGAGGATTGGAAGCGTTCGGAGATACTTGGTTCAAGGGCACATTGGAGTACATAAAGATGAGAAAGTTTCTTTAAATCCAGCGTGAGTCTGTCAGCACGTTCTGACACTAGAAAGTTCCGTGCTCACCATGTCTTCAAGGTGTCGACCCTCAGGAGAGATGTTGATCGGTCCAACTGTGCATGAGGTCCATGAGCCACCGCATGCACAAACAACTTGTAGAAAAATGTCTTTCCAAGCCCTGTACCTATCGGATCAGCCGCCAAACCTCTCAATGTACAGGAGGTCTGTATCGATGCTCACAGAGCATGCTGTTCCTCTTTTCCCTATCAATTCTGTAGGTCTAATGTGGCGGTGTCAAACTTTATGACTCACGTTAGTGCGTTATTGATTCAGCTTCCTTTGTGCTTATTTAGTGTTTTACAGTGGAGAACCCTACCACCGCGCAACGCAACTAGCGTGTCCGCTTCATCACAGAGCAGTCGATCATTTCATCTTATTTTACTGTCCTACGCGATATGTGCTTGTGGAGCTTCCCGTCGCCTCAGTAAGGAACATGGCCTATGGTTCTACGTCCATTCCGCGTTACACCGTGCTGATCGCATTGAGGAGGTTCAGTGTCGATCCCGAGGATGTACGAGCCTATTCGCCTAACCTCCTTCGTCTAACGGGGAGTTCGCGGCGCAAAGGCCCCAGGATAGCTCCTTCCACCCTCTCGTACAGATACCCATGTGACGATGTATTGTGACCATTCAGACGCTCATCGTATCTCATTCTCTCTACCCTATCCGTGTACTCATTCGGCGGTATGCTCGTACCGCCATAGCAAACTCGAACGGCGTAACTGTTGGGGCTGATTTTGCCAGGTAAGCCTTCGCCGAAATAGCAGGATATGGGCGTTTGACATAGCCCTCCTGCTCAGCCTTGGACTTCTCCGAGAGGTCTTCCTTTTTTCAGAGCGCTCCGGTGTGCTTCTTTGTGGTCGCGGGTTTGTCACTCCGACGACGCGTCTCGTGGCTACACGAAGACCATCGGAAAGAGCTGCGTTGATCGATTGAACCGAAACCAGAGATACCGAAGGCTCTACTCAGGGTGCAGATCCGACACGTGTGCGGCCGGAAGACAGACCGAAATCAACTCCATTTCCAACTCCCCTCGGACCGTCTTTGCGCTTGATACTTCCTGGTCCGACGACAAACGAGCACCCGTATTGGCAATACCAGGCACATACTTCTGTTAACGTCTCATATAAGAGCACTCCTGTCTAGGGAGTAAGTCACTCGTCTCCATCCATCCATCCCATCTCTTCCCCATCCCTCCCCTTCATAGACCCGCTCTTCGCTCGTCGTTGCACTTTTACTGACAGCTTTTTTCTGTGGTGAACAGGCATCTTCTGTCTCTCGCATCTTCTATTTCACTATGAACTCAGAGCCAGCGATGCCTCTGCGTCAAGGGTGGACGAACCGGTTCTGATTCATAGCCGAAATAGAAGTGCGAGCGTCGTTGTTTGTTTTTCACCCAGTAATTCTGCTCAGAGAAGTCGAGTCATGGCTCCCGTGCTACAAACTCTCACTGTTCTTACCAGTCCTGCGCATTCTCTTGCTTCGTAGTACTTTCCGTGGGCGCCCAGTATGTCAGGTGAGCTTATCGGCCTTCATTCAAAGACATCAACCTCATTTCTACGTGAGATATTGACTCGTGTGTACAGAATTTAAGTGCCAGTATCATACTGTAGTGTAACTTTGTGTACGTCATTTACTGCCGGGTGCCGGGGGGTGCTTTCGTATGTAGGGACTAGCTGGTATGGTAGGCGCTGTGGTAACTTGTCGCAGTTCACGGAAGTGACCGTACCCTTTTGCCAATCGGATGTCGTGCGAACATTGCTAGAACGACATAGCCCTCGCCTTTCAATAACTACTGTAGCGTATATACTTCATACGGCGGAATGTACTACACAAATAAGACAATATACACTTACCGATGGAGTACATTCAGAACCGCTGCAGTAGACGCCTCGGGGGCGCACCGAACTCGCCCGGCTCCCCTCGAAAGCGAACACCACTTGCACCACTAGAAGAGGCATTCGTAAACACGAGGCCTTAACCACAATCCAGCTTCAGTCCACCGGTATCTCATTTGTCAAGGACGAGAGGAGATGAATACCGGTTTGATGACCCTGGTTCTTCAAATCGCAGTAGGCGTCTCGAAGCATGCGAAAGAAGAGGAAGGTGAAGAAGGCTTGTGCATGCCAAAATGACATGAAAAGCTACAGTCTGTCCCGACCCATGATAATGCAAAGCGTCCTGATACCGAATCAGTGCGCGCGATGCCTACCGATACGAAGATCATAACCTCCCGGCAAAACTCGCAGCGAAATTGACAAAGTCAGGGCGTTGGAGCACCGCCGTTGCATGACAATGGCTGTGCTTCCGAAGCTACCAGGCCGGGACTGGTTTACCGAGAAAGGCTCCCGGTCCACTTGAGCCTGCTTGGACCGATTATCTAGTTGCACATCGATCCGTGTGAAACGAGGACCTGAAACGCGAGTGGGATGAACGTGCCGTCGAGTCCAAAGGAAGATCCATGAAGATCCAGTGGAGAGGTATGGTATGGTGGTTTGCGACACTCGTGTACGCAGGTGTACGCACGTTGAACGATCATTAGGTCGATTCGGGCATGCGAGTCTGACTAAGTAACATATCTTACGGAACGCTTGAAGTCAGACATATTTTAGGCCAGGTCCTCGACGATATAACCGCAAACAAAGTCGTTCACAGAAGTTTGCACACGGACCTAACATAAATAGCAGATGTTTCAAATTCGCGACTTCTTGCTCGGACCAAGAGACCAAAACCTTCGGTTTTAGCGAAGAATGAAACGCACAACATCGCCACACCTACGGTTACGCGGTTGGCCCAGTCTCCCAAAGACGCTTTGAAAGAGCACAATAGATCTCCAGTCCAAGCCTATGCTATAATCCAATCTGGGTTAGCATACATGGCGACCTCGGAGCCTACAAAGGGCTACAAGGGGGCGATGTGGGCCGATAGCGGCTGATGGCCCCGGATTCGACTCTGCGCGGACTTTGGTATTGCTAGGAGTGCCGTCCATCCTTCCGGAAGGCATTTTGACGGAAAGGGGGGCGAGGAAGGCCGACGCCGTTCATGAAATACGTCCGGTGCCACGCGGTTTAAGCTTTATGGTATGATGGATCTAAAGCTGAAAAAGAGGCGCCAATAGTGTTCGGAACGATGAAATTAGCACGTCCGGGCCTTCCGCCTGCGCAAAGGGTTCGTGCTGGACAAAACAAAAACTGCCACCGCCAGCCAATGCGCGAAGCGGCAAATAAAACGGGAATGCAAGCATGGTGGCGACTGTATATCTCTTCGCCAAGTCACTGCCACGTATAAAGCGGGCTGGTGGTAGACAAGAATATTACACTATTCTGCCCGCCGGAGGGGGTGGGTGGCGGGAGGGTTGAGGGGCATGTGATAAAAAGATACATACAGCTTCTTAGTCGGAGCCCTGCTATGAAAACTCGTCGTTCGATATAACATTTTCTGAGTAGAAGGGTCTCCGTGTCAATTCCATGCCACCCTTCCCGAACTGCCGCATTTGTAGCAAGTATTATGAATAAAAAGCCCGTAAGTATGGCGAGTAGCATGCGCAAAGATCATTGTAGTACTCTCATTCGACTTGAAGCTGGTAGCGATAAAGTTTGTGGGGGTTGGGCTCATCTAGCGGACTTGTTGGACAGATTGATGAAACACGGACCTTCCAGAAGCTATGGGACATGAATACAAATGCGAAAAACTTCCAGGAGGACTGAGTCTCCTAGAGAATGATGTGGATCTGATCGATGGTCAGATCAGAAAACCAAGATTCGTCCTCCAAGTGGACCGACGCCCGAGCAAGGATCGCCGACATATATACATATATATATATATCTATGTGCGGACAGGTTAATCTGAAGTCGTGATTCGTCATTTGAAAACGAGCGCAAGAGATGGCAGACCTAAGGATAAGCATAAGCGTAAGTATGGTACCAGCTATATCAAGAGATCAGGCAGTCCCAAGCTCGTTGTCGTCAAAGCTCGATCTCGATGGATATGGTCAAGATACGGTGTTTGTGTCATCGACAATGGCCTCGGGACTCCGCGAGTGAGCCTAAAATGTGACCAGTAATGGGTTAGCATGGTATACTGACTAGATAGTTAGGTGGGTCATGGGAAGACGAGTTGAAGATGCACCTCAGGCCGTTCAATCACTGCTGGCGGAAGGCGATAGCCTCCGATGTTAACATGTACAAACAAGTTGGCCACGTGGCCCAATTCTCGCGCCACGACTTGGCCACAGCAGCATTTCACACCACTCAGCAGTCAGTCAGTAAGTATTCCGAGTCATTCCTACGAATGTAGCCGTTACACAGTGGCCCCTGCAGATATTGATCCTAGCGCTTCTTCAGTACGTTTCCGTACGTTCTGGTTCGAGCGGATGTCGTATCATCGTGTCAGGTGGACGCCACGCTGCCTATCCGAGTCAGCCCGCTACCGACTGTGGCTTGGATCAAGACGTAATACAGCGCATTTGTAGCGTTTCACAGTGGAGACACCAACGTTGAACAAGCCGACACCTAAGTATGCATTGTGGCTGTTTTGCCTTGCCTGGCTCACGTCGTTTTTCCGACGCCACGACGCCTGGCAATATATACTTATAAGTAATGCGTGTTAGCTCAATATTCAGCGCTTCCCATCGTCCGATGGACACATAGCCTCTATGTAGATAAATTATTTACGATGGTCTGACACTAGGAAAAAGCCATAAGGAACTCGAATCTCCAAATGGCCGTACCCAGGGCGGGGTGACCGGGGTCGCGCGGATTACAGCCTTCGATCCTAACATGTACAAATACGATTTACCTCGTGTTGCGGCTCCGCGCAATCAACACACCTTCGACTAATGATCGCAACAACGTCCGTACTTTCCCTCTGGAGTCAGTTCGCCGCGAGGCAACTTGACTTGTTCTGCTCAGATAGTCAAACAATGCCTTCTGTTCTCGGGTGCGACTCTGACTCACTGGTACTGGCAGGTGACTTTCTGAAATTCAAAATTTAAAGGAGTAAGTCACGAATGGTATAAAGCTCGACCCATCCACAGCTGGAACCGTCACGTCGACCACTGCCAACCGTTTCTGCACCACGATTACCTTTGAACTGCTCGTGCTAGTGCTTTCTTTCAACGTCGATAATGGAGTCCGATGCTACCACACCTACAACTGCTAACGCTCCTGAGAATGCTCAGTCTCCTGACATAGTAGTAGCAGACGAGGCTCGCAATCTTTCTAACCTCATCAAGACGAGACCTCCGTTCACGAGTGGCACGATGGCAATTCCGGCGGAGGACTTCACTTTGTTCTATGGCAGAGAGAGGGATGCGAGGTGTGTCTTTCGCAGGAACTGGCACTGTCCTTTCCCCCATTGCATCACGTTTAGTACCCTGACACTGAGACACTTCATTGTTCATTTTTGCTCCTTCCCGTATAAATAGACGTATTAGTCTCCTCAATCCTACTACAGAAGACATGGAACATCTCTCCTCTACCTGTACCGGCGCCACATTCGGGCGGGACAGCGAAGACGTATACGACGAGACGTATCGCAAGGCGGGCAAACTCGACGTCACGGACTTCAGCTCGCGCTTCGATTCGGTGCATTCTGATAGGCTTGCGAGGATGTGGTGCGAGGAGCTTTTAGATGGGAAGGATGATAACAGAAGGGTCAGGTCGGAGCTGTACAAGTTGAACGTTTATGGTATGTGCAATTCCCTTTCACAGTCGGTACTGTTGGGCATTCGGGCGATCCCGATTGATGTTTGTTTCATCAGGGCCCGGCTCGTTCTTTAAGGCCCACCAAGACACCCCTCGCGGACCCAACATGTTCGGCTCCCTCGTCGTCGTCTTCCCAACGCCACACGAAGGTGGCGCACTCGTCCTCCGCTCTGATAATGGCGAACGCCAAGAAGAAATCCTCGACTTTTCTGCATGGTTGAAGCAGACTAAGACGCCATCCGTTGCGTATGCTCTCTTCTTCGGAGATATCACGCATGAGGTTTACGAGGTCACTCGAGGTCCGAGTTCATTCAAGTTTTCCATCGCTATTCTCTGTTCACAGGCGCCTTCTAACGTGATGCTGACTTGATGCTAACAATTAATTCGCAGGCTATCGCGTCTCCCTAACCTACAACCTCTACTTCGACGATGACAAGACGCCCTCCCAAACCCTCCTCCGGTCCCTCGACGGAAAACCCTCCCACTTCCAATCCATCCAATCCTCCCTCACCCGCCTCCTCAACTCCGACACCTTCCTCCCTAACGGCGGCACACTCGGCTTCGGACTGCGGCACCGCTACCCCCTCAAAGACCGTACCCAACCCTCCCAGATCTCCGCCGTCCGCGACGTCCTCAAAGGCTCCGACGCTGCCGTCGCGCATATCTTCTCCCAGCAGCACGGCCTCGACCCGAAAATCGTTGTTGTGTATGATCTCGAGACACACGTTATCATGTGCGATCGCGCGCCAATCGAAGTCGTTGCGGAATCGGACGCTCATTTTGGGTATAATCTCGTGGAATTTAATAATGGACGCGTGATAGGGATAAACACTGAGAGAAGGCCGTGGGGTTATGAGGACTCGGAGGAATTAGATCGATGGGAGCATATTGATGTGCAGGAGAGAGTGTGGTGGATCACGCCGATGTGCGCGTTGAATAAGTATCAGTCCTCGTCGGTGTCGTTTGGGAACGAGCCGCAGTTGGATTTCGAGTATGGGGATCTTTGTATGATTGTGAGGGTTGGGAGACCGGGGAGTAGGAAGGTCATTGTTAAGGGGTCCTTGATGGAAAAGGTCCCTAAGGCGAGGGAGTGGGGTGATCACTGGGCTGTTGAAGAGGCACAGGAGGAGGAGCAGGAGGAGGACGAGGCGGAAGACGTGGTGGAGAAGGATATGGAGGCCCAGTAATGAGTTCAAACCACCGAGGTATCTATTCGTCAAGAATCACTTGATGAATAAGTAATCACCACAAGACGGTATTATAGATACAGTATAGTGTGTAAACGGTCTTACCCTGAATGTACAGCACATGACAACTTGCCAATTCGAACCAGATGAACCCAATAAAGAAAAACATTAATATCCATCCGTGAGTCCCTCTCCCTCCAAACACCGCTCCATCTCATCGCTTTCCATGACCTCCCCCCACTGCTCCTCCCACCAGCCGACCTCCTCCTCAAACAACCCTCCGAACGCCTTCTTCCCATTCCCAATATCCCTCTCAATCTCCTCCCTCGTCGACATCTTACCCCCTCTAAACGGAAACGGCTTCGGCGACGTATAATGCACGACCCGAATCTCATCCTTCATTGCCTCCCAGACCTCCTCATTCCGGTTCTTGATCGCCAGATTCGCGTTATAGACGTACGGCAACCTTACTGCGTCGGGACCGTAATAGAGGTTCAAGAACGCCTGCTCGGCTTCGCCCGGCGGGTACTTCACCGTCCCCGAATCGAGCGTACGCTTCATATGCCGCAACGTATCCGACGAAGGCCTGAGGAAAAGCACGCCGGCATTGAACCCGAGTATAAATCCCCTCTTGTCCGGAAACACGTCCGGGACCGCCGCAAACTCGAACGGCATCCCGAACAGCTCGTCAAACCCCTTCCTCACCAACGTATCCCCATCCAGATAAACAGCAGCTTTCACCCCCAGCTCGTCCAATCCCCACAAATTCAGCTTCGTGTACTGATCTCCGAATCGTTCGCCGATACCCTGCGATTCGTGGTGCGGTGGCGGGATGAAGGGCACGGCGTGGGGTTGCCAGCCCCCGGCGCGGGCGACGCAGAGGGCTTGGGGGGTCGTTTTGTGAGGGAGGTAGAGGAGGATTTTTCGGGCGGTTACATTGGCGGTGGTGAGGGAGTGGCCCAGTGTGGCGACGGGGATGGCGTAGGCGTTGGTGTAGAGGGAGGTGACGACGGCGTTGCCGCTGTCGTGTCGATCAAATGTGGCCTCGAGGACGTCGTTTCGTCCCACGGAGAATTCGGGCTTTCTATATACGGGTGAAGAGCAGCGTGCATGATGCATGAGTGTTAGAGAGGTTTAGGAGGAGAGAGGGACGCACAGCTTTGTGTAGGTATCAAGCAGGGAAGGTGGCGGCATCCGCCCCTTCGTCCATATCACGGCCATGAACACCAAATTGCACGCGCCGATGACGAGGCATGCTACCATCCATCGGTGTCGTTGTCGTGAGCCGTGTCCAGTCGACTCGTCGGCTCTGAAAAGAGGGATGTAATCGTTATAGTTCGATTTACGCACGGACCCGAGACGATTCCAGAAAGTGTACATAGTTTTGAGGGCGGAGGGGTATAGGACTGAGGGCAAGGGGGGGAAGTGTCGGCGAAATGGAGCTGAGCGGCTGTGGTGCTCATGTCTTTAATGCATGGCAGTTGACGCTGTGTTTGAACTGTGTATACACGGACAGAGGATATGTCAGCATGGCAGACCAAGCGTGTTCGATCGACGCGCCCCTTTTCCATAGGCGGAACTGATGGGCGATTGACACTGCCCGGGAGGCACGAGAAATACTCTTATGGTTGTTGAGAAGGTAAGCGGCAGGGACAATACTCCGACATAATAACTGAACTTCCGAAAGCGCGCCTTCCGTGAAGAGAGTCCTGTCATCAGCGGTCCGAGGCATCTCATTGAGACAGGAGCAGACGCCGTAAGTACCACTACCAGACCGAGACTGCTGCAATAAGCAGTTCAATGTCCGAATCAAGCTTCCACAGCTCTAGGGAATCTTTCGGATGCGCTGCATGTCATTCCCGATCGACGGATTCGGACGACCCCTTCGAAAACCTTCCAAGTCTAGTGCCACTCGCTCTACGGATAGACGTCTACACACTATCAACAGTGCACACTTAGGGGCGCGAGTGCGCGAGTTTTGGCGAAACGCTCGCGCAATTTGAGCGGTGAAGTGTTCAAGTTACAGCTCTGCACAGAAGCAAGCTCTGCACGTGAATCGGGGTTGAAAGTCACCTCAACACAGCTCGACAACAATTTCTCGCTAGTGAGTCGGGTTGCTTAGGGTGAAGCCCGTGCAGGAGTGAATGCGGGTGATGCGAGGAAGTCGATGCGAGTGATACGAGAAACAAGCAAAAGCGCCCCGACTTGGACATCTTCAAGGTCCTAGTCGAAATATTCCTACCACAAAAAGTGTGTAACGAGTGTGCAGGGCGGAGGGGACAGGTGAGAAGCTCTGAGAAGCCGGATATGCAGCGTGCTTACGAGGCACCAAGGACATCATCCCGCCGATCTCAGTACCATCGCATCAAGAAGATCCTGTCTACCATGAGCGCGGATTATCTTCCGGCTTGATCACGTCAGAAGGATAGCGAGGCTAGGAGAGTCCACGGTAGCCTTTAAAGCGAGGTTTAAACGTGCGTTTGAGCCCCTGGACCATAGCCGCGCTGCAGTCTTCAACGCAAGCTTAAACGGCTACCGTGAGCTTTCTTATTGTGTATGATCGCCTACTTCTTCTACCCACAAACCAGCGCCATTGAGAGTTTGGAGGCATGGTGTTGTCGCGGCGGTCGTCGGGTGTCGGCGCAGTGAACCACCCCTAGTGCGTGTCCAGCATCTCTTGTCGTCCGCGTCAAGTTCTAGGAGTCTCAGAGTCGCCCAGCGTTAGAGGAAGTACTCCCCTGTGAGCATAGAGATTTGATTGCAGGATCAAGGAAAGGCTGGATAGGTGAAGTTGCTGCAGGCTGTGGCCCAGGTATCGGAGAGCAAGATCGACTCAGTGATTGGGAGAATTGAACTGCAGGCAACGCCATGCCAGCGCAGAGACGCGTGTACGTGGAGATTGTGGCGCGCACAAGCCAATCTTGCAGTAATGTCGTAGACGCGAAAACAAACGGCACAGCTGTGCGGCGACGGCGAATAGTTTGTTTGGCTTGCCTCGAAGATGGGCTAAACCATTGGGATATAGGGCTTCGAGTAGCTGAATAAGGCGTGGCGAGGACAGTGTCAGTTGATATCCGATCCGGGCCAGATCTAACTCGTGAACGCACGATGGTGAGGATGTTGCGACTCGCGAGTACATGGGCGTTGGACTGTCAGGACTGCCAGGCCTCGGTGGCAACGCTGACATTCAACCTGTATTCCAGAGCTGTTGTGCGCGGTTGGGCCGAGAGAAACTCTCACGGCAAGATGATGTCTACGCGTAATTCCAAGGTAAAAGTTGTGCTGTATCACAGTTTGAGCATGAAATTACAGAGGGGCGGATGTAGCGTACAAGCGAGAGCCATATACGCCGATCGGAATTCTGTCCTGACCACGTTCGGGAGGGTAGGACAGAGCACATTCATTCTCGAATTGTTCATGAATTCGATTTTCTTCAATATCCGGCACAGAGATACCCGCTGAGAAATCATTCATGAATGGATTTCTCATGCAACAGAGGGCTCCGAAACTCATGACGCACTCAAACGGGAAAGGAAGACAGTAGAACGGCAGTGTGGAACCTACGGTTCAGTCGTATTCCGATGGCCGCAACTCCAACCTATGAATGCGCTCCTCACATCCTCAGTCTAGATAGATATCTCATGCACTTGAGTACTCCGAAAGTCGTGACTCACTCAAGCGGGAAAGGAAGACACTATGACGGCAGAGGGGAAACAGAACACCTACGGTTCAGTTGTATTCCGATGGCCGCAACTCCAACTTCTGAATGTGCTCCTCGCATCCTGTGACTATGTCTCTACGTTGATCCAAGCCGATGCTCCCCCAAGGAGTTGTGCGCTACTTCGTAGAAGTAGGACGGAGTTCCGTTCAGTGGCTGGCGAATGTTGCTGGGCGGTAACTTAGTGTACAACATCGAAAACAAGTGGCGGTCAACGCAAGGCTACTATGATCCATAGTCTCAGAGTTCACTAGTAAGCGAAGGTGCGATTTGAGCTGAGCTAGCTAGAGGTAGAGCCACAAAGTAGAGACATCCACGAGTAAGTAAGTACTCGTCGATGGGGGAGGGAAGGAAGGGAGCAGGCCACATTCGCACAGGGCCACACAGCCGTCTATAAATACTGCGGACGGATCGGCCCGGAGAGGGTTTCGGCGCAAGACGCGAAAACGTTGAGAAAAATTCGCCGAAAACGTCAGACAAAGATTACTGAAAGGACTTGAAAGCACTGCGTCATCACCCCACTGCCGTAAATATCGAGGCCTCGAGTATTCTCTCTGTCTCACGACACTGCTGGGAACACCGCCATCTCCGAGCTGGGCCTGCAACCGAGGCTTTGAAAGCGGACAGACAGCAAACCTCGGGTCAAATTTGCCATGTGGCCTCAGCGTTGCGTTCCCTCGTTCGTCCGTCCATGGCCGATGAACGCCGTACCTTCCGTTCTGGACCTGTTCTTGAGACAAAAAAACCTTCCGATAAAAGCACATCGTGAACGATGGCCGACATTCCAATTTCACGCCACCCCTACGTCCTCTCAGCATCCCTACTACACCACCACCAACACATCACATATCTACACCACCCGATCCTCCTTACTCTCCAGACAACCAATACACACTAGTACCTGGAGTGGACCGAATACCCGCTTGAATGTCTACGGCCAACTCTTCGCTGGTCAGATTGCCCGATGAGGCCGCTATGCTCGCTATGGAAAAAGGCTTCCCTTATGCCGGTGACGGCTCTGAGACACCCCGGTCTCATTTCGACAAGTACGAAGTCATCCTAGACCCTCAGGATGACCCACAAGAGTTATCCCTCATTCGGAGGTGGCTCGCTGTAATCACGATCAGTTTCTCGTCATTGTGTGTCGCGTGTGCTTCATCTGCTGTGCGTCAGCTGCTCTTTTCTTTCCACACGCCACAGGGCTATTGACTCCGACTGACGAACGTTCATGTGTTTGTTTGTACAGGCGGCGTTTACGGAAACGGGAGTTGCGAACGAGTTTGGTGTCAGCAGAGAGGTTACTATCCTTGCCGTCAGCCTGTACACACTCGGTTTGGGAATGGGTCCGCTGCTCGTCGGACCACTCTCAGAAGTGTTAGTATCAATATCAATTCACACGCCATGACCATCCTTTTTTTCCTGCTGGTGAGTTCACACATAATCTCGATCGTTTTAGGTACGGGAGGAACATCATCTACAGGGTGTCTTTCATTGGCTTTTTCGCGCTCACTTGGCCTGTGGCATTCGCGCCCAATATTGGTATGTCGAGTCCAAACGATCCTAAGAGTTCCCAGACGTTGACCAATGACCATCCTCCTTGTACGAATGTAGCCGTATACCTCGTCTTCCGATTCATCACCGGTCTACTGGGCGCGTCATTCTTGAGTGTCGCAGGAGGAAGCGTCAGCGACCTCTTCCCAGACAATGCCGTTGCTACGTGAGTCGAACAAATTTATCGTCCAATCTTCGAGTATGGCTAATTTCTCGCTTACGGTCCATTAGTCCTATGGCTGTATACACTATCTTCCCATTTATCGGCCCTGAGCTTGGGCCGATGTTTAGCGGGTGAGTACTATATCTCCTTCGCGTTTCGTGCTGCGCTCCCATGACGGGTGGCCTTGGCTTGATGGGGTGCTGATCGATATGCCTTGATTTATCCAGTTTCATCAACCAAAACACCAACTGGAGGTGGACCTATTATGTCTTCCTCATCTGGTCCTTCGTCCAAACTATCGCCTTGTTCGCTGTACGCTTGTCTCCCCCTTTCTTCCCTCGTTTTCAGCGTTACTCATCTCAGACGTTTCCTTGTCCGTCTGCTCCAGTTCGTACCGGAGACGTACAAACCAGTCATTCTCAAGCGTAAAGCACAAAGGTACGCATACTCTTCTCTCCTCTGTCGGTTTTTAGGTCTGAAGAGAAGCTGATTCTTCCTGTGTGTGTGATTAGACTGCGGAAGACGACTGGGAATCTCAATTACTATGCTCCTCTGGAGAGAACGAACAAGAATCTCGTCACTGCTGTTGCTATTAGTTGTTACCGCCCATTCCGTACGTCGTATAGCATCTTTCCCGCCTTTCCTATGCCTGCTGAAACTTTATCTGCATCTTCTCTGCTTAGAACTTATCTTCTTCGACCATATGGTTCTTCTCCTCAACCTATGGTCAGTACTCCCTCATCTCCCTTCGACAACTTGCCTTCTTCACGCCCGCACAGCTTGCTCACGCTCATACAATCACATTCTATTTTATTTACGGCCAGGTCATCCATCGTCCTCGGAGTCATCTACCTTGCATTCCAAGCATTCCCCATCATCTTTGAAGACAATCATGGCTTCAACATGCAATGCACCGGGCTTACGTTCAGTGGTATCGGTCTTGGCATGATTCTTGCGTTGTGCAGTCAGCCTTATTGGAACGCGTACGTTGTCCACTCACGACTTATTTCCTGTCGTAAAACGAGGGCTTATACGTGATGGCAATGGTTATAGGCGCTCTCGGAGGTACCGCAAACTTCATGGTAGTATCCCGCCGGAAGAGGTTCTCCACATCGGCCAAGTAGGCGGTATTCTCGCTCCCATCGGTACGTCCCAATCTCCCCATCCTTCCTTCTCGCCGATCAACCTGACCATAAACCTCGCCACCAACCGTGCCGCCCTCTCACCACAGGTCTCTTCTGGCTCGCCTTCACGACCTACCCCTCCGTGCACTGGATCGTCCCCATCCTCGGCTCCATCCCCTTCGGCGCAGGGACCTACTTCATCTTCACCTCCGTATTCACCTACCTCGTCGTCGCCTACCGGCCCGTGGCCGCCTCCGCGCTCGCGTCGAATAGCGTCATGCGATTAGGGTTCGCGGCCGTTTTCCCGCTGTTTGCGAACGCGATGTATGCGAGGCTGGGGACTGTGGGTGCGACGGCGCTTTTGGCGGGGTTGACGACGTTGATGGCGCCTTGTCCGTGAGTACTTTTCTGTTTTGTTTTTTCGTCGGCGTTTGAGGTTGTGAGGTTTGGGAAGGAGAAAGATGTGCTGATTGATTGATTGAAATTTTGTTGGTATAGATTCGTGTTTTATAAAATTGGACGGAGACTTCGAAATCGATCCGCGTTCGGGACAAAAGACTCTGAAGCTGTCATGCAAAGCCAAGCACCGGCGACCCCCGTCGTCACCTCTGTCGCACATACTTAGACGTCGACACCACTATTGACTCTCAATGATGACGCGGACCATTGTCCGGCTTACGACTGTGGTTCCAACGACGAGAGGTAGAGGTCGACGTGTTGAGCACTTCGAGGATGCTTCTTACTTCTTACCTTACTTACTGATCAACTTACGCTTACTGTAATCTAATTCTCACGACTCGACTCGTTTTCACATTGCTATCGGGACACATTTAGAGGGATTCGGAGGCTGGATTTTTGTTGTTACTGTAACTTAGGGCTGGGTCCATTATATATACGTTACAGCGCTTGGCACTTAGACCTCTTGTTGTAGATTTTAGACACACTCAGGGCTCGTTTACATTTATGACTTTCGTACTTAGACTCACTCTTCGACTTCACTCGGCACTCAGCACTCGGCACTCACCCCTCACGCACTTTCTACCACGTCTTGGTACAACCCTCCTGCTTCCTCGTCGTTCTTACCATTAGACATCTACTTCAGTACAGTAGACTAGACTCAACTGTACAAAAGAGGAGGGCGACTCGAATATACACATAGACGCGGTGCTTCTTCTCAGTCGTGCAGGAAGGAGCGAGGCGCAGAACGCCACAAATCGAATGTGGTACATCATCGATACATTTTCATTAGGGGTCTACACGAAGCACCATCACGATAAGTAACCCGACAACATCAACGTCAACTTAGCACTCTCCTTCCTCGTTCCATACGCAATGTCTAGAGTCCAATCTTAATTCATACCCTATACCTTACGCCACACCCTCCGATCCACCATCAGACGCGCCCAGAGTATGAACAGCGACCCAGCCAAACACGTCGATCCCGCGAGGACGATCGGGCCCGTATATGATCCATGCGCTCTAGACAGCAATGCACCAGCGGCTGGACCGCCTAGGAGTGCTCTAAGTACATGCACGCACCGCACGGCGGGAGAGTGCAAGTCAGTATGAGGCTACTACAGGCGTGCGATGAAGAGGCAGGTGCGAGGGGAAGGAGAGGAAAGGGAGGAACGAGGACGAGGGTACGCACGGGAAGGAAACGATAGTATACAATAACCCCATATTACTCCCAATTCTCTCGACCTCCGTGATACGCGCCACACAGGGCGGAATCACAGCGATGACCGCGCCACTGCTGAACCCGTACATTACCGCGAACGCGATGATCAACCTCCCAGATTTGTCTGGCAGTACCGTTCCCTCCAAGGCGATCGTCCTCCGCATCACTTCTGCTACTGAAACGGAAAGGGAGGGAGAGGGCGTGGAGGTGTCGTTATTGATTCCTGCAGGGAGCCAGAGAACGAGGCAAAAGAGACCGGAAAGGAATGATGCAGGTGTTAGGGTGTTGAAGGGGCCGATGACATCTGCCAGGAGGGGAGGGAGCAGACGTCCGAGGACCGAAGCACCGTTCATTATTGCGAGAGAGGTGGAAAATGAGGTCCGGGTCGCGGTCGTGCCATAGCCGAGGGATTCAGTGTAAGTCGAGAGATAGAAATAAGGGATAAATAGGCCTGCAAGTATGATACACGCCAGTTAGTTGAGCAGTGACACCGGAAACCGTGGATGTTTTTGAGCTCGAGCTCACCAAATGAGATCAACGCGCTCCCAGCTGTAAGAAACACGAAGCGTGCGTCTTTCAATGACGTCAGATCAAACCACCTTCGTGTAGTCTGTGGTTGAATTGCACTCGTTGCAGAGGCCCGTCGTCTCGTAATGCTAGCTAGTGCGAGCGCACAACATGCGAGGCAGAGGAAGCCAGAGATGCGTACGGCCCAGCCAAATCCAACGAGACTGAACAGACGAGGCAGCATTATCGGAAATATGGCTCCGCCTGCGTTGGAAGAAATCATTAATGACGCGCTTTGGATGTAAAGAACCAAGTGGAAGAGTTACCGATGCCTGAGCCCGAGGATGCGAGTCCAATGGCTGTTCCTCGGTACTTTCTAAAATGAGTGGATACGGAGGCCAGTGATGGGTAAAAGCTACACTTATATCGGTCTTCCGTCAGTAGGATAGTAGGATGCGTATGAGATAGCTTGAATTTCCAAGTAGACGTACAGTATTCCGACACCCAGGCCACCCAGAACGCCTTGACAGAGCATGTACTGATAATATTGCGTGCATATACTCGTCATCATCGTGCTGAACACTAGGACTGCGGAACCAAACGCGAGCAAAGGCCTTGGTCCAATACGATCGAATAGTTGTCCCACTAAGGTACCCTAGGTCGCACGTCAACTCAAACTCGATGTCGGTCTTAACCATGAGAGAAGAGAACAACCGTCTTACTAGCACATAAAATATGCACAATAAGTCACGTTAGGATAGAGGACATACCGAGAAGAAAAAGACCCATAATTGCATTGAGCCAATCCATGATATCGTCGACGCAGGAAGATGACTGAGCTGGTGTGTGGCATAGTACTCCTGAAAGGTCCCGAACGCATTGATCTGACCAAAAGAACAGAATAGAGCAAGAAAGCTACCAGCAACGGTAAGCCAGGCGCGCCATCCACAGTCCAGCGGTGGTTCCGGGCTATCAATGGATGGTGATGGTGTTAGAGCGGACCGGACGGTTGCTTCATGGAGGAACGAATCAGGACGCTGCTTCAGCTCTATGTCGATGTCTCTGATGCTGGAAACGGCGGACAATGCGCTAGTCATGCCGATCCTCAGACTCGAACCGGAACTGTGTGGTGGTCTGGAAGAAAGAAGAGACTTCGTCTGGAAGGAGGAAGAGAGGTCAAGACTGGTAAAATAGACATCGACGAGCGCGCAAGAGGTGACAGATGGCAACAGTCAGAATGAAACGAACGGAAGCAGGAAGTCTAGATATGGACAGATGGAAGTGGACGTTCCTCCTCTGGGTAAGGAGTGCTTGGAAAGGAATGCGAGATAGTGCCGATTAGGGGCGTCCGCTTGCATCGGAATGAGAGAGCATATCATCGTCCACGAGGTTTTCATTGAGGAGCTAGAGAGACCCCTGCGGCCTGGGAATGAGTGTCGGATGGAGGCATGATGATGGCCGTGGTCTCGAGGAGAGTCGAAAGGACAACTAGAGAGAATGCTGACATAACGTACCGCGAAAGGTGGAGATGGGGAAATAAGGGATGGCGTGAAGCCGCAAGAAAGGACAACAAGCTTAGAGGTATGCCGATCGGCATAATGCAAAGCATGAAAGGATGAACTCGCCGATTATCAGACAAGCTCCCAGGAGATATCAGAAAATCTCGAGCTTGATGGGCGCACTCAGTAATTTAGGCGAGGAAAATCGAGTACCTGTTATTTGAGGCCGTTCGCGATCGGGCTTCCGAAAGAAAAGATCGGAGATGCCTAGAGATGTCGGCATTGCATCTATGTCCGAATGATGGCGGGGAGAGTGCTGCGTTAGGCTGGTGCAGACAGGGAACCACTACTCTCTATAGCGGGTACTTATGTGGGTTATATCACTACTGCGCGAGTACTCTGCCGTAGCCTTGAGAAACCGCTCAGCACGCAAAGTTAGCCTACACGGCTCTTGTATTCCTTGGTTCTATCAAAAGAAACAGAATCAGTCGTTGAAGATCCCTTCGGACCGTGGAGTTTGGAGCTCAAAAAATGTAATTGTCGGACAGGTGCGAGGTTCAACCTCCTTCCATGCCCGACAAGTGTCCAACAGAAACGAAAACCTCGGACATAAGTATCGGTGAACCGGAGGTATGCAGAGAAAAGGAGATGACAAAGAATTCAGACCCAAGCTCAGTGAAACTGATATATGATTTCCTGACGGCCTGAGAACCGGTAGGCCCAACGCCGGAGTGCGTCCTTTTTGGCGTTGAATACCGCCCAGATCAGTCGGGTGAAGAGGCCAGAAGACTGATTGGATGCTCCAAGTCGCAGAAAAACTTGTGCGCTCATGAGGGGAACCTATAGATGTTGACCGGATCGCAAGAGAAGAGAAAGTTGGGAGAAAGAGCAGTGGTGGCGCCGTGGCGGGGCCAGCAAGCCAGCGGAGTATCAAGGAGGCCGGCATTTGCCGTTTCCTAAAACCCGGCTCATGTCCCTGTTTGGCTTTCACGTTTTCACCTCTCTCGTCCCTCCTCACTCTCTCCGCCTCCTCGTTGCTTGGTCTTCGCGCATTTTTTCACTTGTTTCGTGTTCTCTGTTTCCATCTGATCATGTACGCATCAATGAACCTTGCTGCCTACGTCATTATCGTCCGCATTTCATCGTTGCTCCGCCCCCAACTTGTTGACCGGCCATCCCAATCCAGAACATCTGCCGCCCGACACTCGAATAAATTAGCGCGCAAGGGGATCACACCGCTTAAATTCTCTCTTATGCTCCAATATCTATGGGCATGCTCAATTCTGTGATATTTCACGGTGCCCATCTCCATATTGGTTATCGCTCGTTACTTGGGTATGTACACCATCCGTTTGCGACGCCTCAGAAGGATCATCCCGCTGCTCGCTGTTGGTCTCGGAATGCCGGTCTCACTCGAAACAATCAAACTCACCATGACTCTGAAGAGACTCTCTAGCGTCAACTGTTGATGGGTGTTGCTAATCATCAAGTCACCATTCCCACCTTTAGAGTCATTCTCAGGTCCAGACCTGCTCGTTATGACCGTTTGCTGCACGTTCAGGTAGATATGTGCCTAAATATACTGCTTTCGATTTCTTGGCAGGAGGAGAACATGTACAAAGCATTGAAACAGTGGTCATAGCCCGTCCGTCGAAACCTTTAAAGACCACGGTGTTTGAGCCTTTTATCCTCACTCTCACCTCCAAGTGGAATACCTATTATCTTCAACAGCAATCCACCCCTTTCTTCGACGAACAGTCAATCAAAATGTTCTCCCTCCAATCCCTTCTCTTCCTCGCTTCCGTCGTCGCTCTCTCCGTCGCCTCTCCAATGCTCCGTGCGACGGGCAACAGCACGACGTGTGACTTCATCATGACACCTACCCCTGACCTTGGTGTCGATGGATTGCAAGGACCTATCAACTACGGTCAGTCAAGCACTCCCGTGTTATTTCAGACCTCTTTTCGTTCAACAATAGGTGGGCATTCTTACTGATCTGTATTGCTCGGTTTCGAATAGCTGTGGGCCACACGGTCGGCGCACAATACCCTAACACGGAGCTTACCGTACGTGCCTCCATCTCCCCCTTATCCCTCGCGCTCGCCTCCTCCTCTCCTTCTTCTTAACCACCTGACACACCCTCAATGACGTTCCTCTTGTACGGATATCACAGGACGACAACTCTCTTGTCCGCCACAACGACGGGACCTACGACGTTCACTCCATCATCGCCGTCTCGGGTCAGGATGGCACGTCCGTCGGCGCTTTCGTCGAAACTTGGGAAGGAACGACGCTCGATGGGCTCCAGGCGCAGTGGTACGTTGGCGCGGCGAACTGCTACTAGGATTCTTGAGAATGTAGGGCTATCAATAGAGCCGTGTTTGTTGGAAAAGCAGGGTATTAGAAGAAGCGTCAATGGTGTGCATGGAGGAATAGATGGTCAATTATTTGCAGATCATCCGGGATTTTTATGAATATCTTGTTGATCACGATCGAATTGCCATTCTGAGGTCACAATTCGTGAGATTGTGTGGCGAGCACGAGGCGGACAATAGTCAACAGTGAAGGATGGATAAGCTCAAGAGAACCCCATACGGGAAAGCTTATACGAGGAGAAATTACAGGAGAGCACATTAAAAAATTCATCTTACAGGAGTGCGCATGCATGCTCGAACGAGTACGTGAGCTCCGCAGCAGGTCTCGACATCAACAACGGTCATTCTTTCGCACAATCTTCCTCACAACAGCTCTCTCACCCGGCTTTCCAACCATGACCATCAACGCCAAATCTGCGTACGCAGTCATGAGCATCGGCTCGTTCCCGTACGTCGCATAGTCTGCCGAATAGGTGTTCAAATACGTTGGCTTCGTTATCCAAGTCACCTGCTCGTCGACGACCAAGTCTTCAGGCCAGTCAGCATCCTCGCCTTTATCGATGAGGTTACCCCAGTGGTCTTGCAACAGAAGGCTGCAGAGATTGCGCTCTGGGTCACCAACGAGACCTCGCACGAACTTGTCGCACATGATAGTCGTGTCATCCGTCTTGTAAATGGCCATGGGGAAGGGTTTCAAGTCTTGCTGAGACAGAGCTCGGAGTATGGCGGAGTCACTGCCTTTCAGAGCGGGGAGGATTTTCTGAGCTTCGATGGAGGATGTGTCCAGGTCGAGAGCGTATTGGTACCGAAGACCGAATCCTATAAGGCCGCCGTCGGGGAGAAATGTCGGTTCGGTCAAGATGTTGAGAAGGGATTTGGCGATCGGAGCCTCTGCAATATCGGATGCGAGGAGCGTCGCCTTTGACTCGGAGGGGTCGCCTTGAACCGGGTCGTCGAAGTACAGGTTATAAGTGAGTGTGACACGATATCCTGCACAGACAGACAAAGCGTGTCAGTCCATGATTCGACTGATAACGCTTGAGGGCACAAAAACAAACGAGCGAGACTCAGAACGGACCGCGTTTGACTTCATACACTTCATGAGTAACGTCGCTGAAGAAAGCGGCGTAGCCGATAGAGGGCTCATCCTCCTTGCTTAACAGTGCACCAAAGTCGAGCACGGTCGTCTCTTCGGCATCCCTGGGACACAACGCTAATTCACCGCCCTCGTGCTCTGTGGGGAAGACGACGACAAGAGAGCCAAACATATTATTCCCGCGCGGAGTATCCTGATGCGGCTTGAAAAAAGAGCCGGGACCTGTGAGGAAAATGGGTCGTAAGATCGTGTCAGCGTTCGTCAGTGAGCATGGAGCGAAGGAGAATCTCACCATAAACGTTGAGCTTGTAAAGTTCAGCTTTAACAGCGCGCGAGCTCTCTTTACCTACAAAAATCTCACGACAAGCCGTCTTAACGAGTCCACAATGCTCAGCGTCGAAGTGACAGGCGAAATCGCTGCGGTCAAGCTTCCTAGCTTTGCGATACGATTCGTCGAGGACGTCCTGCTGGTTGCGACCAAAGGTGGCTGCTCCACAGACGTCCGATAGATGTTCGAGCTCCGATTCTGTGGCATTGGACAGGTCGATGCGACTGCAAAGGAGATGGTGGTATCGAGATACGTCAGTATTTTCGAAGAGAACCAGACTTTCCTGACGGAGAAGTTACCCAAGGTTTGAACCACTTCCGTAGAACAGAGTGGATTCAGAGAACTGAGAAGTCAATTTCATAACTCCATGGCTGAAGGATGGTCGCGCCTTGAGCAGGCCGGCAAGGTCGATCAGAAGCTTTTCGTTATGCGTGAGTTCCGAGAGATTCAAATCATCGGAGGGAGCCCCAGTATCATGCTCAGAAGAACTTGAACTTGAAAGGGACGGCATCGAGGGAAGGAGTTGGATGAAGTAGAACGACCTGTATACGGTATGATCGCAGGAAGGAAGGAAGGAGTAAGGAAGGAAGGCAGTTTGGCTCTTGACTGGAAAGCTTTATAGGCCGGAGGGGCTCGGAGGGGATTGACTCTGACGTGACACCGTTTTGCGGCTCCGAGGCGCCGAGGCGTGGGAACATCTGCGGCGCGCTTTGGGCGAGACGCCTTGTGTCACGAACGCCACCCGGTCAAGCTCCAGTACTGAAATCATTGCCCGAGTAGATTGTCCAAGTCTATGACTCAAGAGAATCGCAACGGGAGCCACCTAGACTGAGTGCATCCTGGACCAGGCTGCCTGAGGGTGACTCGGCTGAGCGTTGCATTTGGCTCACTCTACCAACTCTGACTCGCCGCCGTGTGGCATTTGTGCGGCACGCTCTAACCCAATTCTGCCACGATTATACAAGAAAATGCATCAATCACGGAAGAAAGACATTATCCTTAAGATACACAGAAGGCCTATAGAAGAAAAAAATAGGTTTTCCCCCTTTTATACGGTGGTTTCTTGCAGTCGGTGCGTGTACAACGGAAATATCGTTCCAATCGTTCACGCCTCCGTGTGTCACCCCTCGACTGCGTATGCTTGCTATACATGACCGAGTTGAGCCTTAGATTTGGATGGTCCGACCCGAGGCAGAGCCTGCATCGTAAAGACGGATGTTCAGGCCTCACGGTCCAGTGAAGAAATTCATAGAAAGTGCATGACATGTTCTCACCGTTCGATGCATGTCAAGATGGATGCCTCGTTCCACGACAGTATCGACCTGTATCTCCAAGGGATTCCTATGGACCTAGAAAATCGGAATATATAAATTCAAATTGTAATGGACACAAGACATTGAACTACGTACAGGAGAGTTGAGTGACCTGCTCGGGAGCTTCAGGGCTTCAGAGTCTGATTCGACGCGATTGCGCAAAGGCCTAAGCTCCGTCGCAGAGAGTGAAGATATATGAGTGTCCAACAATCGCAGAGCTGGGGTCCTCCGTGCGCGGAATTCCTCGCGACGGTTAAGTGTGGCCAGAAGGGAGCTGAAATACACTGTTGGGGTACGCGATAAGACTCGAAATGTTTTCGTAAATTGGGTTCACTTGCTCACTTCTACTGAGCGTGTAGAACGCACCGTCATAGGCAAATGTGTGTCGCATTTTAAGCATCTACACTGGAGTCAGATACGGGTCTTCGAGAGAAAGTTGAGCCTCACAATGACGAGTGTGGCGATCGAAACGACACTGATGCACGATTCAACTGCCGGATTGAGCTCCTATGTGGGATATGCACGCACCTCGTCAGAACACCTGTCGTCACAGTGTAGAGCACAAGAAGGCCGATCACAGACGTATCTTGAGATCTGCAAGAAAGTTTCAGGTTATTCCAGGATCTACTGATAATGTCTAATGTAAAATCTTGCGCTCACTGATTGAATGCAGGGCGGGCATTCCGCAATAACACGCATTGAAATCCGGCAAGCACGAGGTCGGAAATGAGTGCAGAGATCAACGTGGCCTCTATCTCTGCTGAAAGTCCCAGAGCGACGATACCAGATTTCCCCACCCTTGGTAAAAGGCATAGATTAGTGGTCTTCTTTACATAGCTAATAACAACTGGTTTACGTTCTCGACGTGGCGTCTACATACATACAAAAGAAGACATAGTGAGGAACGGTGCCTTCAAGCTAAGTAGTGAGCGTATTAACACGTACAGATACCTGCGACTAGACAAACAAAATGGTCTAAAGTTGTGGAGTGCTCTTTCATGACATGGACGACGGAGTATACTTAATGCACACACGACAGGGAGAGCCTGGTCCATAAGGGACAGCGCTTAGACAATCACTCCAATGCCAGAAAAGGGGAGACATACCACGATGGTCGTAATCTTCCGATTGTGTTCACTGACTGGGGCCAAACTGATAAGTGTATATTCTCGATGACAAACCCTCCAGAAGGAAGTGAATGACATACGCCTCCAGATTCTGTAGCAATAGAAACTGATTTACGGGAAGACGAACTCAGGTCGGTGATTTACAAGGGGAAGAGTAGGGCTCGACGGACCTTCTCACAACTGTATCGGTAACGACCTGTTGCCAATGATATTCGCCGTCGACGCAGGATACTCAGCAGCAATTAAAGGGACGATGAAACGTACCATTATAAAGAAAGAGGCCTGCGTAGAGGACAGGCTTTCTGATAAGCCAAACCTCAGTGGCAGCGGCCTCAAATGCAACGTACCCACAACGTCCTACAAAGACATCAACCTCCGCACGAACACAGAGAGGAAGAACCATACCAAGGCACCTCATATCGAAACACAGTCAATGGGTCCAGAGCATACCCGACGGCAATTTGATACAGTGCAATTGCCGCCAGAACGGCATGCATGACATCCGCCACCCTACAAAAATCAAAGCCTGCACCGAGGGGAGACATGTAAGTACACGAACCAAAGGATCAAAACCTGAGGCAAGTCACTTCGTCAGAGGGAGCGTGGAATTCGATTACAGTCAGCAGCTCATAACATATCATGAGTCGCATCCATAGGGAATCGCCCGTTGACTGCCTGAAGTAGGCATAGGTTTGATGGGAAGTGAATCCGCAAAACCTAGTGTGTACATCTATTCGTCATCATAGCTACCCGGAGATAGTATAAGAGAGTCACATACGCGGCCGCAAGGTAGCTTCCAGCGTACAAGCCATCGAAGGACACCTGAGAACTTGACATGTCAATGCGTGGAGAGATGATAGGAAGAGGGATAGCGCCAGGGTGGTCTCGCCTCGGGGGAGTGTGTAGACACTTATACTGGGGCCATGATGTGCATTCTTAGGCATCAGGTCTCATGGTATCCAGGACCTGTTCTTGATTCACCTGAGGGCTGAGTCGCTATACCTGGATGCTTTACATTCTATATCACTCTGGGTGAACATACAATAGGATCTTCTATCAGATTCTGATCCTAGATGACTGTGACTGTTAGATATGAAGAACGAAAGGAATTCGGATGATACGCCTTCCATTAGCTACCATGTTTCGTGGGAGACCAATTGAGCCGGTTACACAGACGGAACATATTAATTATCTCCAGCTACATAGCTGTAGGACGAGGACATCCGCTGCACAAACACGTCCTTGGGCAGTGAATAGGCGCAGAATAATTCACGGGAGTAAACTTTACACTGTCTGTGAACATAGCAATCATGTTTGTGATGAACGGAAGATGGCCCCATCTTCCACAACCAAGTCGAGAGAATATGATGAAATGCTAGCATAACTCAATGAAGTCAGACGGGACATGGCCGATCAGTTGAAGGCAGTTCCGCGCAAACCTCGGCGATTAGAGCACCTGCTCATTCCAGAGCGTGAATCAAAGCGTGCACATCACCTCGGTATAAGAGCTTAGCGTTCTCGCCACAGATTCGCATCAAACCATTTGAGGTCAGAAGATGTCGAGTATATTATTGCATACTATTACATTGCATGGTATCAATTTCAGGTGCGCGAGGATGGCAGAGGGTGTGGAGATATAGCGAGAGTGAGCAGTGATGTAGCGGCGATGGGGCGGTTGATGAGGTCGAGGAGGAGAAGACGGAGAGGGACCGAACGATGGGAGAGGTCGGGGCTGTTAGGGACTGATATAGTGGCGATGGGCGGCGTGTGGTGACAAAGAGCGGGTTGGTGTTGGTTGGAGATGGCGTATGATGAATCATTCGAGTTTCTCGAGCTGTTCGAGACGGGAGAGGACGACGTCTTTGCTCGTTTCTTCGACTTCGCCGGCGAGGAAGATTTCGTCGAGGATGGCGTAGACCTACAAGAAAGACGGGAGGTTTTGGGTGGTCAAGGTTCGTGTGTGACGGAGAGTGTGTGGTGTTAGGGTGGTCCAGGAGGTTGAGTCGAAGAAGAAAGGGAACAGGGAGCGCGTAAGGGAACGAAAGGGACAGAACGAGACGTACCTTGTAGAAGTTGAAGACAAGGTCAAGCTCACAGACATTATCGAAGAAAGAGTCTGAAAAATCAACATGAGCGCACCATACATGAATAATCAGCAAGGTACCAAAGCACATTGACGGAAGGCGACGCACCTAGGATCTCCACAAATAGATGGATTGCCTCCAAGTACGCAAGCTCATTGTCATTCGCATCAACGCAGACGCAGAAGAAGAGACCGGCGTAACGACGGTATACGACCTTGTAGTTTCGGAACTACTCGTCCCCATAAAATAGGGGAGAAAAGGGAGGGCCATTTAGCATGGACAGGTATCACACGAGTGGGCGGGACGGACCTCGACAAAGTTGGATTGATGCTTCTGGTCTCTTGGTGCGACTAATCTATGGACTTCACCTCGTAGCCGTACCTAAGCACAGAGAATAAGTATACAATGGAATATAGATAAGCGAGAACGCTGTGAATGACCTTCTCTTCGTCATCGTAGGGAACGTACCACTTCGACAGCCGTGTTTTCCCTTGCCGGTTCTACATATAATACTGTTTAACTTACCATGCTATAGATATATGCGGAAAACAATGCACACCTGTACGAGAATGAACCTGATCATTGTGTGTGACGTTGACCGATGCAGACGTTCACGACAGAGATGAGCAAGCGACCAAGGCGGTTGTTTGGATCCAAGGCTTTTGCCAAACAAAGCCCCCAAGCACTCCGGGGCCCAATGCCACGTCGTCAGTCCAGCCTCTGCAGACCCCGTGGACCGCGCTAGACCGAAAGCTGCCAGAGGTAAACGCCAACTCCGCTTCCTCTCTCCATCCTTCACCGTCACTCCGCCCTTTCTCTTGTCTTTTCCTCTTTCTTTTCTGTGACATAGCGATAGAAGATTTCTAATACCCAAACAAAAATGGCGGAACCAACGAAAGCAGAGACGGAGCAAGTCTTCAAGGTTCTGAAGAATCAGAAGGGAAACAAGGTATGTACAAGTCTCTTCTATCTTCCTCATCACAGTTACTTACCATAGTGCATTGGCCTTTGTTCTGCGATCGCGTGCGATGTAGATGTGCTTTGACTGTCAAGCTAGGAACCCGACATGGTCCAGCGTCACGTTTGGCGTTTACATCTGTCTTGACTGTTCGTCCGTGCATCGGAACATGGGCGTGCATATCTCTTTCGTCAGGTGTGTCTCCGTTGTTTATCTATTGACCTTGCTGTCCTTCTCGTCTCGTCCATTTTGTCCACATTTACCCTGCACGAGTCTTTGGTGCGGGGAAGACGAGCGTGGGGTACGCAGGCAATCTGAAAGGAATAAGGAGGAAGAGCTGGCCCGAGAGGAGCAACTGGACTCTTGGTCCTTCCAGCTGCCAGTACCCAATTTGAGTGGTGAATAGTACTGTCGCCTGCTAAGATGGCGAGTTGGCGAAGATTGCTCTATCTCGACAACTGTTCTGCGCATTCCCTCACGGAAATATAATTCCGGCAGGTGGCACCCGGTTTACTCCCGTAATAGTGGGCCACACTGCTCGCTCCTGAATATAGGAGTTGGTAGTTCTTTGTTCTGTGCAGCATATGCACATCGCTATGCTGGAGGTGTTTTGTCTCTTCTGGACTGGTATCATCAGTCCAAAAACAGGCCCCGACATCGGCCTGTATCTGTGGCCAAGCGTCAGATGATCGATGATCTACTAGCGACCAACATTCTTCGTCCAGATTAATATAATTCGAGTCTTTCGTGGACTATGAACCGTTCAATTCGATGCGGAAAGGACCCTGCTTTAGCTTTTATTCCCCATGTCTTATCGCAGACGGTGTGGCGTCCAAACGCGATACGAGTACCAGAACGATAAATACTCAGTAGTTCGCGTCTACCCCACGCGTACTCACATACTCTTTCCACCTTCGCAATCTCTCTGCCCCCTCACAGTCAGTGTTGGCACTCGACCGGGGTCAAGTCCCCCCGACACCGGGGGTCAAGTCGACATCCGGCTGCCTCGAGCTTGCAACTTCAATGAAATCTCCCCCGTTCTTGTTGGAGGGGCCTCGTATGACGGCTCTGTAGATGCTCATATCGAGAGTTTGAGCAAAATTCGTAGATTTTTCAACTTGACCCCCCGTGTCCGGGGGACTTGACCCCGGTCGAGTGCCAACACTGCTCACAGTCTTCCATTCCATCTTCTATCCCTCGTCCCCTCTTCTCGCTCACACTTCTGGCTCTTTTCCTTGCAACCAGATCCACCAACCTCGACTCATGGCAACTTGCCCAACTCCGAACCATGAAGGTAGGCGGGAATGCTTCCGCCACCGAATTCTTCACCAAACACGGTGGTTCGTCCCTTTTGAGCGACTCGGACACGAAGAAAAAATACTCGAGCAGGGTCGCGGAATTGTATAAGGAGGAGCTGGGAAGGAGGGCCAGAGAGGATGCGGCGAAGTGCGTTCGATGACCATTCTTGCTCCATTATCTGTTTGCTTCTAGCATGCGGAAGACTGACGCTGATGTGCTATGTGAATACTCAGGTTTCCATATGGCATCTCAGTCGACGGCGTCGACACCTCCAAATCCAACTCCGCCACCCCCGCTAACGGCGGCGGCGAAAACGCAGAAGAAGATTTCTTCTCCTCATGGGATAAACCCGCCTCCAAACCATCCACCCCGACCTCCTCCAAACCAGCCTCTCCAGCTCCCCCACCCGTCATCGGATCGCGGTCCACCTCCGCATCTTCCGCCACTACGGGTCCACGCACAGTCACTTCTTCTTCGTTACGTTCGACGTCCTCCACTGGGGGCTTGGGCTCGTCCAGACCCGCGAAATTGGGCGCGTCCCGCCTTTCCTCGACTGCTTCCAACACGACTTCTACATCTACGACTCCATCTGCTACAACGACCACGGGCGCAGCAGCACGGAAAGGAAAGCTAGGAGGCCTCGGAGCCAAGAAAGCCGCCGCGCCTTTGGATTTCGAAGAGGCTGAGCGAAAAGCCAGGGAGGAGGCCGAGAGGATCAAACAGCTGGGGTACGATCGGCAGCGGGAGGAGGAGGAAGAGAAGGCTAGGCAGGAGGAGGCGAAGAAGGCTGCTGCGTTGAGCTTGAATAAGAAAGCGGCGACGGCTGCGACGGCGAGTAAGGCGGCGGCGAAACCGGGAGGGAGTTCGCAGGATATGGAGAGGTTGGGGATGGGGGTTAAGAGGTTGGGCTTTGGAGGTGTGCCGGTTGCGGGGGCGGCGGCGGCGGCGTCGACGAGCAAGGCTGCGTGCGTATCCCTTTTTTGGCTATTTTTTCTGGCTGTTTCGATGGCTTGTTTCTGTTGTGTCAAAGATGATGGTGATGGTGGGCTAGCCTTGAGTCCTCGAGAAGGAATGGGCATGCTATCCTTCAGTGTCTAAGCTCGTGGGGCCCAAAGCTGCCTGAGCCCACTTATCGAACTATCTGCCGCTTTATCCTTCTTTATCTGCTTCTATCAAGATCTGCTAACCTTTGTCTGATTTCACTCCACTAATAGCTCCGTCAACGACGACGCTCCAACTACCGCCCGAGACCGCTTCGGCACCCAAAAAGCGATCTCCTCCGACATGTTCTTCGAGCGAAACGACTACGACCAGACCCACCTGTCCGAGTCCCGGACCAGGCTGCAGCAGTTTGCGGGCGCGACGTCGATCTCGAGTAACCAGTACTTTGGGAGGACGGAGGAAGAGGAGGCGGAGCTCGTCGCGGCGAACCAGGACGGCGGCGTGTTGGGCGACGGGAGTTTGGCGGGGCTGGAGGTGGCGGCGAGGGAGATGGCGGCGAGGGTGTTGGCGAGGGAGGATGTGAGGGATTTGGGAGAGAGTATCAGGACGGGGGCGTTGAAGGTTCGTTTGACCCTCTTATTGACTCCATCGTTCCCTCATCGCTGCGCGCAGTTGCTGATGCCTTTGGGCTGTGTGGCACAGTTGTCGGATTATTTGGCGCAGATGTCGGAGCGTTGAGTAAAAAACTTTAGGTTCAGGCTCGGGTTTGGTATTTGGGTGGAGGGACGGATGACTCGTTGGTTCGCTCGCTGGCTGGGTTCTGTGGTCCAGGTCTGGGTAGGGTTTTTTTATAGGTCAACTCGCATGATGGCTACGGTCGGGTCTTGGTCTCGGAGGAAGATGTTACATATATACGCTGCGTGTCCCGTTTTTCGAATCGATTTTTACCCTTCTCTCTTATTTTCATTGCGCGGAGCTATGAGGCCGCCATTATGTCAGCGCTTGCGTTTTGGTTCCGTGTCTCGTTTTGCCCATACGAGTCACGAAAGGATCCATGGTGCGTTGGCCGCGACGTTCGACCTTCACGTTCGCGTTATGACTCGCCCGCGAACATCCGGAAAAGGAACACCAATTCGTAGCACGAGGCTGCGGGTGCCGACATCTGATTGGCGGCTTGTTGGCGGCCACTTTGACGTCGCGGAAGCGCCCAAACAGCCCCTGTTTTTCATCTGAGTCAAGACAACTATAACCATTGCCTTATTTAGATTTTCGAACATATAAGTAGAAAACTGACGAGCAGAACCCCTTACCTGTACCACTCTTATTCAGGCCCACTACCACCAACATGTCGTCCTCCTTGTCTTTAGATCCCTCTGGGACTCTTGGGACTGCCGCGCCTCCAGCGTCGTTGACGGAACATGAGCTTGACGTCGAGCCCGCGCCTTCACACGAAAAACTTTTAAAACAGCTTGGAGGTATTCTCAAGACTCGACCTTCATTCAGCCATGGAATTATGCAGCTGCCGCCCCAGTCTTTCAACCTTTTCTATCGCAAAGCTCAAGACGTTCGGTGAGTCTGTTGGCCTCATCATATCAGGGGCTCAAGTGACTCCCACTGCGGTCCTAACCCATATTCTACTCGAATCTGTAATCTCAATGAATCACTTAGCCACATCGATCTATCCAACGCTGCCGACGCGGAGCTCGCTCATCTCTCTTCCGTATGCGCTGCAGCCACCTTCGGTCGTAACCATCAAGATGTCCTAGACGAGACCTACCGCAAAGCGCGGAAGCTCGACTGTAGCGACTTTGCGTGTCATTTTGACGCCGAACGATCTGGACTTGTGAGGGCGGCGTGTCATGAGATTCTCGTAGGCAAGGACGGTTCGAGACGGGTCAAGGCCGAGCTGTACAAGCTCAATGTATATGGTGTGGTCTTTTCCCTCCTCTCTTTGTACACTCTGGACTAGCATTGTGCAGTTGCTAACCGACTCGGGTATCTTTACAGGCCCTGGCTCGTTCTTCAAGCCACACCAGGATACGCCGCGCGGGGAGAACATGTTCGGTTCTCTCGTAGTCGTCTTCCCAACCGCGCACGAAGGCGGAGAACTGGCATTACGTCCGAGAGATGCTGAAGATACGACTGTGCTCGACTTCGGTGCTCGTTTGAGTGAGGCGAAGGCGCATTCCAGTTCTATCGCCTACGCAGTCTTCTTCAGCGACGTAACTCATGAGGTGTACGAAGTCAAACGCGGTCAGTAGTCCTCAGTCCTTCTCCGTTGACACACATGCTCATTGAATTTTATTCCTTGTCTAGGGTATCGTGTCACGCTCACGTACAATCTTTACTTCGATGACCCGATAGAGGACCACGTCTCCGCCGTGACGACGTTACCTTCTTCCTTCCAATCTGACATCCCAGAAACTCTGATCTCTCAATCCCTCACTGACATCCTATCCGATCCCACCTTCCTTCCCGACGGTGGCCTCATCGGATTCGGTCTACGCTATCAGTACCCCGTCCGAGTCAACAATACCAGCGGCGCCGACGACGACGACGACTACGGAGAATACTACGAAGACGACTACGACTCTCCTTCACGCGTAATGAAGAACATCCTCTCCGTCCTCAAAGGCACGGACTCCACAATCCACCACCTTCTCTCCCAGCAAGGTTACAAGCCCTTCCTCATGGCCATATACGACACAGACGGCAAAATCATCATGTGCGATCGCATCGTCCAATACATTTCACCTGAATACGGCGAATCACTCTCCAGTGTCCTTCCTCGAGACCATCACGGGATTGTCATCGATTTGGCGGAGTGGGCTGGAGACAAGGAGCGTGAGGCCGATGAGCCGGTGACGTGGGTGACGGAGCCTATGTATCAGAAAACGTACAAGACAGAGTATGCGGCGTTTGGGAATGAGGCGATGGTGGAGACTGCGTATGCGGATCTGGCATTGATGGTTATGGTGGGCAAGCCGGGTGAGAGAACTGAAGCGAGGGACGTTGAGCGATACTAGGTGGACGTTCCTCGAGCCTCGAGTAGCGAGAACGTAGTAGTTGACGAGCCTGCGAAAGGACTGGCGTTCAGACCTTGGTATGTAACGGAAACATTTCAAGCCATGGGTTTTACGTATACTGTGTATGATTATCCACCAACCTAACACTACTTCTAACTCGTGTGGATTCTGAATACAAACTTTTGATGGCACAACTAAGTTCGTTCACTCGCGCACCGCCCTTTTTCCTGGTGGCCCCACCCTGGCAATCATGGACACAGAGCCATACGACGTGCCTATACCCGGTTCGTTTCCATAAGTCCCATAGTCGATGGAGCTAGAGTTGACAATATCCGAGCGCGCGGTGATCCAGCAAACATCTTCCTTTACCCTTTCTTGTGCCCACTTGGAGTCATCAGAGGTACTAATGATGGTACCATCGATCTCGCGCACCAGCGTGTGGAGATAATCCTCGTCAACCGTATCGAGGCCGCCGATAATACGTGGGGTCATGATTTCATAGCTGAAGAACTCGTAGATCATAACCATCTCGGCATCGAGCCCGTTCATGGTAAGAAGGCGGTGGATGAGGGCGTCGCTTCCCTTGAGATATTGAAGAATATTGGCGAGTTTGTGATATGAACTGTGCCCGATGGCGTATTGGTAACGAAGGCCGAAACCAAGTATTCCTCCCTCGGGCAAGAAAGTCTCGTCAGCGAGCAGTTGAGAGAAATCACGGGTAACGTTTTGGCTGAGGTCGGCGACATGGTTGGTGATCTCCTTAGGAATGGCATCCTGATTGGTCGCGGATGCCGACTTGTCGTAGTAGAGGTTATAAGTGAGCGTTACGCGATAACCTACGCAGAAAATAGGTAAATGGCTTGGGAGGACATGGCAGATGGCGATGCGACAGACCTTTCTCTACTTGGTAGACCTCGTGTGTGACGTCGCTGAAGAATGAGACATAGGCGACAGAGGGAATCTCGGAGTTGCATAACCATTCGCCACAATCCAATACAGTTTCATCTTCGCCGTCCGGCCGTAGAGATAGGGCGCCGCCTTCATGCATCGTTGGGAACACTACCACGAGTGAGCCGAACATATTATTTGCGCGTGGCGTATCCTGATGAGCTTTGAAGAAAGAGCCAGGGCCTAAAATCGATGCGATTGGGCGGAAACATGCTCAGTACAATGTCCAAGAGCCAATGCTGCAATTAGAATGAGACGCACCGTAGACGTTCAGTTTGTAAAGCTCCACCTTGACAGGTCGAGTGCCTCTACCTCCGCTCAGGATCTGCCCATATGCCGCCCGGGCCAATCCCGACCGTTCCGCATCGAAATGGCATGGGAAGTCCTTGCAGTCAAGCTTTCGAGCCTTCCGATAACTTTCATCGAGAACGTCTTCGTTTTTTCGTCCAAACGTTGCGATAGCACAAGTGTCGGAGAGATGCTTGAGTTGCTCCTCGGTGGCGTTAGAAAGATCCATACATCTAAATAGTATTCCGAAGGGTCAGTGAACAACACATTTCAAGATTCGGAAGAGTTCGAACCGCGCATCGTGAGTGACAGGGTCCCGATAGAAGAGCGTGAAGCTGTCGGGAGGAAGGGCCATGGTGCCACTACTGAAGCTCGGTTCTTGATCCAAAGCGACCTCGAGGGACTCGATCAACTTGTCTTTCGTGTTCGTCGGTTGGTCGCTCATGATAGACAAGATAAAAATCTGAAAAGCTTGAGACGAGAACAGGTGGATGCCAGGAGGGATCGCCTGGCGGATCGCTTTATATATTGCCACTAGAAGGATTCGGGCGTGGGAAATCTACGGAAGAAAGGACGAGTCAAAAGCCCCTTATTGCTCCTGTATGCACCCGACCGCGGCTCCGAGTTGTCGCCAGCAGCATTGTGAATCATTGTCGGGTTGAAAAAAACAAGAGCTCATATAGTGTTCCGAACAGTGGCCTTTCTCACAAGAGTCACGGTCGACGTCGCTACCACTGGCACCTGAAGAGCGGCGGCAGCGGCAATTGCAGTCAAGTTGCGTTGAGCATGACCGAGGAGAACGCTAGCGTAGTTGCAAATTACATTGCCCAGAAAGCGCAGGACGAACAACTACAAGTCAACGAGAAGGCTCATGCAAGGCTGATGAAGGTTGTGACGATGCTAAGAGCGCGGCACCGGGATGCCTCAACGTCAATTTCGGAATCAACCGAACGGTGAGTGCCACGTCAGTGTGGCTCATGAGGCCTGAGGTATTATTGCTCATCGTCAGTTTTTGTCTAAAACAATTGGCACATTTATATCGGGATCTACAGGATGTTTGAGCTATTTCTTATGCAGCCTACGAGATTCCAGCAATTCCTCCCCTAGAACCCGGCGGTCCGACACGTACCATCAAACACAAGTCACCGTACATATGGGCGATCGAAGCCTCATTCCCGTACGCAATGTACTGTCCTCCGTGCGAGTTGAGATCGCAGCTCGGGGTCACCCACGTCACCTGCTCGGTGACCTTCAAATCCCTGATTGGTTCCTTGGGGTCGAAACAGTCGATAACAATTCCACCACCTCCCAGGACCACATCCGAAATCCACTGGTGGTCGTCGCACCATTCTTGGTTGACCTCATCTGGAGCGTAACTGTAGTCGGGACGCATGATGATGTAGTCGTCTTCCCAATAGGCCACCATGAGGAAGGGATCGAGCCCATGAGAACGCAGGGTGTCATTGAGATAGGCGTCGCGACCCTTCAAAACGGTGAGCACAGAGGAAATTTCGTCCCGTGAGGAGTTTATGGCCACGGGATATTGGTAGCGAAGGCCAAAGCCGAGAGTACCACCGTTAGGAAGAAAGGTCGGATCGTCGAGGAGAGTGGAGAATAGCTCGAAGAGCGGAAGCTGGTCGATAGGTCGGTCGATCTTAGAAGGCCTAAGAGCCTTAGCATCATCATCGGCAAAATAGAGGTTATAGGTAAGGGTGACACGATAACCTAAGGGTGCCGAATGAAGAGTGAGACACGGGGGTGCATTCGATTGACCGTGTGATGTTGGACGAACAACGAAGAAAGGTACATGGACACGAACCTTTGGTGACTTCGTAGACCTCATGCTCAACATCGCTGTAGAAGCATGCATAGGCTACGTGTGGTTCATCCTTCTCTGATAATAACTGGGCGAAGTCGAGCGATATCTCCCCATCAGAGCCCCGAGGACGAAGGATCAACGCTCCGCCATCGTGTTGAGTCGGGAAGACGACAACAAGGGATCCAAACATATTCCGGGCACGGGGCGTATCTTTGTGGGGCTTGAAGAACGAGCCTGGCCCTGTGAAACGGTTTAAGGACGCAAAACAATGGTAACTTAGAAGGCATATGGTGGGTGATACGAACCGTAAATGTTCAGCTTGTAGAGTTCGGCGCGGACGGGGCGGGAACCCTCCGTTCCAACAAGGATTTCATCACAAGCGGCGCGAACGAGTCCTGACTGAACTGGGTCATAATGGCAGGCGAAATCCTTGCGGTCGAGCTTGCGAGCCTTCCGATACGTCTCGTCAAGTACGTCTTCCTTGTTTCTGCCGAACGTCGCGGCAGCACATATCTCGGACAAATGTTGAAGTCGGTCTTCTGTTGCGCGAGCAAGATCGATGCACCTGCGACAAAAGATGTCGATTTAGTCCTGTGTTGCATATGAATGATTTAGAAAAGATCTACCAAGCACTGAGACCTTCCCGATAGAAGAGCATGGACTCCGCGGGCCTGAGAGGCATAGTCCCACTGGCAAAAGATTGGCCAGATTCTAGGATGGCCTTGATCCGCTCGAAACTGGTTTCATGGGGAGAGGAAGAAGAATCAGAAGCAGAGACGGACATGGTCGAGGATTCGAAGTGACGAGTTTCCTCGCACTGTCAATCCAGGTTCATATAAGTACGTTCCAGAGGCGCTTCGCCACCCGTGGTCAACCGGTAGTATCATTAGGATGGGACCGAACGACCGCGCCTTGGGACAAGTCATGGCACCGAGTCAGAGCCAGAAGCGTCTTACGTGTTATATAGCAAGGTGATATACTGTGATATGCCGCATAGCAAAAAAGAAGCTTCGGCTCTGTCAGGTTCACGAGACGCAGGTAGGGAGGAGAGGTTGTTGGTGTTTCTCACTCGAGTCACCACTGACAGAGGTCAAGACTGCTTAGGGGCGACGAATGTGGATCCCAATTTACATCAACAGCATCGTGCCCTCAATAAGTCACGTCCAAAATGACGATCATGATGGCCGTCTGCAGAAAGACAAAAGGAAGGAAGGAATGGCCTGGGACTCGAGAAGTGGTGGCGACTTGTAAACGGGGAAGAAAACGAGGCATATAAAATATCAACGTCGACTCGGCTTCTGCCGGAAAGAGTGGCGTTCGCGTTTGCCACAGTTCTCCTTTCCTTCACAACGCCCACAGCATCAATAACACGTACAGACCTTACCCCGCCATATACTTCACTGGTCACTGTGTTAATAGCCCGATAGCCTGGAGCATTCTAGTTTGTTTAAAACCTCTGGTAAATACAAGGTTATCTTTCTCTTCTGAGTATCCCAGAGCCCGGAACAGTATGGACTGGCTCAAGTTCAACATAGGTAGTTCCATCCTCCTGAAGACACAAACATCGGCTGCATATACTGTTTTTTTTGGAGGAAAACAACAGAATCCTTCTCCTACAAAGAAAGTCGCAGTAAGCTTGTACGTTTCACTTATTCAGATCGACGCATCTATCTCGGGCTGACATGACGATTTTACATCATGTCATGTAGATTCCTCTTCGACCCCCCTTTGTCCAACCTTTGGCCTACTCCTTCGAAGAAGGACAGCATCATCGAGCAGGTCTGTTTTACAGGCTGTCGAGCTCTTTATACCATTTCTTTTGTCGCAAAATTCAGAAGCGGCAAACGGCGGGAAGGTCGGATCTCGGACTGCCTGTTTCCGATTCGAGCGCGGACGGATCTTGGGGCGTTAGCGGCAGTTATCCGAGCTGCCAGGAGTTGTGTCGTCCAACCACCATCTCTTCACAGCGTTTACTCACCGATACCGATATGTGTTCCGAGAGCGCTATAGGCCTTGGGTACTTATAGTCACCTAAGGAGATCCCTGTTGGGACCAACAACCTCTCGTTCTTGCCCCGAGACTATGTCTTCGTCAACTGCCTCGACGTCCACACCGGAATTCAAATCTCTCAACGTCGCCATTATTGGTGGTGGGATGTGCGTGCACTTCTGTATAGTTTGCTAGCATGGTTTCATACTGATTTTGTTTTGCGAGTAGCGGTGGTCTCGCAGCTGCTGTTTCTCTGAGACGGGCAGGTCATGCCGTGACCATATACGAGCGGTACGACTATGCTGGTGAAGTCGGCGCATCCATCTCCTGCGCGAACAATGGTACGAAGTGGCTGTTCGAGTGGGGAGTGGACGTTCAGAAGGCAAAGCCTGTGACGCTCAGGAACTTAATCATGCACGACGTACGCTATGTTCTTATTCTACCGTTTCGGATCTTTCTCACTCTCACGGACAGTGGAAAACCGGGAACGTCATCAACGAGTATCCTCTCAAGGACTACAAGGAGAAATGGGGGACCGTGAGTGTTTCAGTCTCTAAACGTTCTATCGTTGGAACTGACATGACTTCCAGGAATACTAGTATGTGTACTCTTTCTCCGTATTGACTGAATTGAGTTGACTCTGTGTGTTAGTATGTTCCACCGTCAAGATATCCATGCCGTTTTGAAGGAGACCGCTCTCATGGATGAGGGAGAAGGTATTCCAGTAACGCTGGTCGTCAATCACCGTGCGAAGGCGATCGACTGTGAGGCTGGTAAGGTTACCTTCGAGGACGGCACCACCATCGAGGCCGACCTGATCGTTGGCGCGGACGGTATTCGTGTACGCACCCAACCTTTACAATCGCATTCTCATTTCCTGATCGGATCTACGGCAGAGCGTTACCCGTTCTGAAATCGGCGTTGTCCCAGACATGAAACCCGCCTCCGTTGCGTGCTATCGTTGTAACATCCTCACCAAAACATGCCACGAACTCGGTCTGAAGGACTTCGCCGAAACCGAGGTTCGTTCATTCCCCCACCCTTTTGTCTTTACACCATCTAATTTATGTCTTTATCATTTAGGCCATCGATTATTGGGGCGGTTGGCCCAGCGGCGAAAAGGAAGATTCGCAGTATTACAAGATCGTCCTTGCTGGCTGTCGCGGTGGCGAGGTCCTTTCTTTCTACAACTTCATGCCCGCGCATCTTACCACTCAGCGGAAAGAAGGTTTCCGATATGAGGAAGTGACGGTCGAGGAGATGATCAAGAACTACGGTGATCTTGACCCCAAGGTTCTTGCGATGCTGGAGAACTCATTCGACCGAATGCCGTGGCGTTTGTATGTCCATCAGGAGTACCCGGTTCGTCTCATTGTCATGTTTTGTTTCCGTTTCGTGACGACGATTTTGACGGTTTCGATCGTTTAGTATTGGAGTAAGGGTAAGGTGACATTACTCGGCGATGCCGCACACCCCATGCTTCCCAACCAGAGCCAGTTAGTATGCTCCCACCCCTCTCATAGACCGTCATAAGCTAACTTCCAACTAGGGGAGCTGTCCAGGCACTCGAAGATGCTGCTGCTCTCGGTATCACCTTCTCACGAAAATACGGCTATACGACACCGGGTAACGTCGAACGCGGTCTGAAGATATACGAGCGTGTTCGTAAGCCTCGTGCATGGAGGGTGCAGGATGCTAGTGTTCGGGCGACCGAGAACATGAATGAGAGGATTGGATTCTCATCGACGCCATGGTCGCAAACTAAGCATACCACAACGTACGTCTTTATTCCCACCCTTTTGTTGTATATTACCTCGCTGAAGGTCACTTCTCTCGATTATAGGGGTGTGCTTACTATCGACGAGATGAACCTTTATGTGAGTCTAATTCTGCGCTTTTCTAACTGTCGAGACTAGAGTCTTGACCATATATATGACATTCCCTACAGGACATGAAGAAGGACGTCGAGTTCAAATCTCAGGATCTTCCTGCTCTGTAGACGGTGTATCGACGGCTCGCTCGTCTTTCATATAGACTATATATATTCACCTCGCCGGAGCTTTGGTCGGCTCACATTGTGTTTCACCTCATCCTCAGTACACACCCATCATTGTATTGCAACATGTCTTTGTATATTGACGTGGTAGAATCAACTTAATTGGATCTCAGCCCGTCCTAGAGAGTCTTCGTATCCACACACATCGAGCTGGTCGCCGCTGCGACGACTGCGTCAACGACCGGCGAGAAGATGGGTGGCCACAGCGCTATAGAATGGGCGCTAATCCTATCTGCCGTACTCGGCAGGTGGTGCCTCTGACGCCACACCGCTCAAACGAACCTTTTACCATCATCTCACTTGAGTGAGTGACCACGCTATTTCCCCTCTTACGTTTTAGCTTGCTGGGCCTTGGCTATCTTCGACTGGAGGACTCCATATATCTGTAAACTGACGTGTGCTTCCAGACCTGAAGGAACAGTCCGGCTCCGACTTCGAACACGTAGGCTTGATCTTTGACTTTTAGCTCGAACCTGAGTGCCGTGATTTCTCATCGAGCTACCTTCAGCATGTCCTTCTTTCTACCTTGGTTCCTCCTCAAAGCCCTCTGTAAAAAGCTTCGTGTAAAGGTCCTACCTCGTAGACCTCTCATACATGTCTCGGGCGAGGTCGAACAGGATCAGGATCTAGACGCTGCTTTGAAAGCTATTGCGGCATATATCAGGTCTCGCAACTGTGGAAGTATATGTCTTATGGTGAGTCTAAAGTCCGGAGAAGACGACCTGTCTAATGCTCTTCTATTTCATACGTCAAAGCTGATTATTGTTGTTTCAGATTGGTGCAGGTATCTCATGCCCATTGTCGTATTGTCGATGCCGGAATACTAACAACACGGTCTTCTCTACCTTAGGCGTCAGCACGGCAGCAGGTGTACCAGATTTCAGGTCCGATAGAGGAGTTTATGTGCGTCGAAAGCCCGATGATACATTATCGTTCAAGCCTTTTTACCAAACATCGCAACGACTGACTCCGGACTCGTACTCATGCCTCTAGGCAAACGCGGAGAAGTATAATCTTCCGTACCCAGAGGCCATCTTCGACATAAACTATTTCAAGTCCGATCCTCGACCATGTCCGTATACATTCAGCCTTAACATTCACTCGCATGCTGACGTTCATTTGATACACGACGATTCTTTCATTTTACAACAGTCTACTCCCTCGCACACGACCTCCTCCCTCTCGACACTACAATCCGCCCTACTTTGACCCACTCCTTCATTTCTATCCTGCACAAGAAGCGCCTTCTGTCAATGTGTCTTACCCAGAATGTGGACTCCCTCGAACTCCGCGCCGGAGTTCCTCCCAGCCGATTGCTAGAAGCCCACGGGACATTCAGGACCGCGAGATGTGCAGTCTGCAAGAAGCCGTATGATGGAAAGAGGTGGAAGGAAGATGTTAGGGAGGAGAGGATACCGAAGTGCGATAATGTAAAGTGTGGAGGAACCGTCAAACCGGATGTGGTGCTTTTCGGCGAACAGGTCGGGGTTTTTTTTTGCGACCTTACCTTTGAGCGAAGCCATTTCGGAGAGATAAGGCACTGATGCATGGCAGGACTTACAGCTGCCCACTTCCTTTTTCACCAAACTGCCCTCTCTCTGGGCTACTGATCTCCTACTTATTATCGGTACCTCGCTCATCGTCCAACCATTCGCATCGCTCGCACATCAAGTCCAAGAGGAGGCTTGTCCCCGCATCCTAATCAATCAAGACCCAGCACCATCGAGGGCCGTGTTTGGAGGACGTGCTGCCGACGTGAGTTTGCTGGGGAATTGCGATGAGGTTGTGAGAAGGTTGTGCAGGGAGTTGGGTTGGGAGGAAGAGTTGGACAGGATGTGGAGGGCAACGCAGAGTTGATGACTCGAGTTAGGATTGGACTCCCTACGGTACATTGACTTCACCATGAATTCTGGTAAGAGTAGTCGGAGACTAGCACAGCGCCTGTCCACCGTCAGTCCAGGGTCGTGGGGGAGTGGTTGCTGCTTAGGTTTGTCGCAGCTGGCTTTGGTGACGGCCAGAAGATGCAGATGAACGGGGATTACAGCGAGCAGATGAATCGTACAGATTATCTACGAGCACAGAAGTCAGTACTTGTAGAGGATGTAAATCAGCAGGAGGGAAGCCTATGTGTCGTATAGATGAAGCATCGTGCAACGATCGTCCCGAACAAGCACGCCACACCCCAGGGCATCTCAATCCAGATCTAAGCCTAGCGCGACCTCCTCCAATTTCCCTCCCAGATCCAGCACATTTTCATCCTCCTCTTCATCTGCCTTCATTAACCAATCTTCATCTAACGTCCCACCATCACTCCCTGCCTCGCTAACCCAATCTCCCTCCACCCAGATGTTCCTCGCTGCTAGCGTCATAATCATCGTCGCCGTCTGCCCAGAGCTCACAATACTCTCAATCAGGGTGAGCCTCCCCTCGTTGTCGATCGCTTTCTTCAATATCCCTGAAGTCCTCTTCTCCGACAACCCTCCCCTTGCCTGAAGATCGACTTTCCGCCTCGCTTTCTCCTGCGCCTCACGGGATCGTGCTCCATCGAATTTATTTCCTTTGGAGAGGAGACCTGCGCTGTAGCCTGTGAAAAGCGTCGAAGGAGAGATGGGGTTATCGACGTCATCATCGGAGAGCGTACAGGTAGATATATCGTGGCCTTCGAGCTTGAACACGGAGGGTACAGGCGGAACACGCGTGTAGTCGATCTTGATACCAAGACCTGAGGTAGAAATGCCTGGGAATTTTGTTTTGGCGAGGTTACGCAGGGTAGGCAGGAGGATACGAGCTTCGCGGATCGTAAGAGCATGGAGAAAGACCCGGTCTGTTTTGCGCAAGGCGTCGGATTGGAAGACTACAAGAGCAGCGGGAAGTCAGATATATTTATTCAACGCTCAACTGGATAAAGAAGTGTCAAGACACACCTATTCGCTCTTGGTCTTTGAGGTTGCACTCCGCTTTGTGTTGTTTCTTCCAGCTCGCTACTTGGCATTCCTTCGAGCAGTAAAGCGTGACTTTGCAGCCAGTACACTGCTTAAACGTGTCCTTCGGACCCTTTTTCTGGCACTACACGGGAAAGAAATCGTGTTGATGAGACAGAGGGCACAACGAGCGAGCCGGATAGTAAGAAACCCACATTATCGCACCATGCTAACTTCTTCCTTGTCTCGTCCGCCATCTCCTTCGCCATCATCCTCGCCTCCGCGATCTGCCTCAACCGCTCCCAACTCTTCTTGACCGGACTCCTCGCGACCTTATTCCTACAAGCCTCCGTATCCAACCCTCTCATCGCCACCACTACACTCTCAATCACACTCCGATACACCAGATACCGCGGCAGCAAGTCCTCGATGAGACTGATCGTAAAGCTGCGCGCCTCTTCGTCGAAGCGTTGGAAATTTGGCATGATGTTGACGAAGGCTTGGAGGAAACCTTCGGTTATAGTTTGGCGGATGTATGTGATCCCGTCGCCGCATTCGATGAGGTTGGAGATGCAACCGAAGCAGGACGTTATGGCTTCTAGGACGTTTTCTTCATAGAGCGGACGAGTGGTGAGGACGAGAAGCGTTTTGGTGATTACACCGATGAGACCCTTCGAGAGGAGGAGGTGGCGGAGCGGATGCTTCGGGGCTCGAGAGAACGAGATAGTGAGGTCGACAAAGGATTGGACCACCCCTGCGCTCAGCTTCGCGGAAGGTTTCTTCACCGCATTACGTATCCGATTAAGTAGGAAATCGGCGACCTTCTCCGGAGCACCAGGGAACGAGTTCGCCACGACCTGGTCGAGCATCTTCTCATCCGCTTCGAACAAGATCTGGTGCAACGCCGCCGAAGACACAGGGATGGGCAATATGGGAACACTGGCCCGTTCACCGCCAGTTACCTCCCTCTCCTCGTCCACCCAAAGTTTCGTGATCATGGGTATAACCCCCTCAGTGTTCGTGATTATCCTCTGCAGATCATCGTCATGTGTCATGGAATATATCGCATAACTGATCATCTGGGTCGTGTTCTTCAACTGCTCGGGTGAGCCTACCCTCGGATCCTGATTCTGATACCAGAAGAACTGCATCCATTTCCAGATCCCAGGCCAGGCTTGTTTGAGCGGATTGAGGAACGGAGCTGCTTGTGGCGAAGGTTGAAGGAAGGGCCCCATGTTGCCGAGGCCCATGATGGAGGCGAACGCGCGGTCTGTCGCGAGCGCAACAGGAGAACGCGCTGCAGTGGTTTTGGTAGGATCGGGGATGAGATGGGGAGCGAGGTTGGCGATGAGGATGTGGATGGTAGTGGGCGTTTGGAGCGCGGGGATGGACTGAATGCAGTTGACGATACATTTCAGGTCAACGTTGGAGTTTGCTTGAGCTTTACGGATGGACTAGGAGGTATACAGTCAGCTGGGGGCGTAGTATAGAGAGAAGGAGTTGGGACGGACTTCAGCGGGGTTTGATTGCACGAGCTGCAGTCCGCGAGCGTAGTCGGCTTGTGGGAAGGCCATGGTGGTAGTTAAAGGAGAGGTTGACCTTTACGACGAGCCAACTCGGCAGACTGGGGTAAGGGTGGCCTGTAAGAGACGTAATAGTAGACCTGAAACTCTGCTATCAGTCAAGACGTCATCCTGACTTGGACAACTCGGAGCATACCTCTATGCGATGTACTGCACTTCGCACTCGAGATGAAGTATAACACGACAATAATTCAATTATCACTGTGAAAAGGGAGCATATTGATTCATAAGTATGCGTACTTATTGTTTACTCACAAGAGCTCGTTTGCAACAAGGGCCCGCGTACAGCGGGATGAAGGCGAACTGCTGCGTTCCATATTTAGGTGGTGCAAATGATGGACCTACCTTCTGCTTGTCGGTGATTTCTGGTCAGATGTATAATGTTGACGGAGAGCGGAGACGTATAGAGGCCCAGGAAACTTGCAGGAAACAGAACGAAGCGAAAACAATGACCGTACGAGTCAAGCGGTGAATGACGCTAAATTCGCGAAAATTCTGCTTCTACGCGCCCACGTGATCGTATTTACCCCTGTCGCGCCACAAACCATCACCGAATCGGTGTGGCGCAGTCCGCCCAGGAAAGCCCATCACCAGTACATGTTCGATGCTCCCTTGTAACCAATTCTATCACTCCAAACTATGTACCATGTAAGATAATCGTTCTATACAACCCATCCACGACGTGATGGGGGCCTCACACTATACGCACTTCCATGACATGACCTCCCCCTGCTCCCCCGATACTGCACTCTTCGACACCCACAATCCACTCTCCTCGTCCTCCCTCCCCCACGGATACCTCTTCCCACCCAACCATATTGTCACTGTCCTGAGTGTAGGGCGATAAATAGCCATCTCCGCACATATGGCTCGCTGGAAATGAGGGACGACTTGAGGGTGCCAGGAGCTTAGATCAAGCTCGAGGGAGACGAGGGATGAGAGGGAAACAAGGGCTTGATGAAACGAGGAGTGCTGTTTATGGGTCTGAGTTACTTGAGTGAACTTGATAAGGAAGAGATAAATGAACGCACGTTTATGTCTCCGAGAGGGAAACAACCGAGATGTAACACCTGCGGGCAGTACTTCGCTGCCATCCTCATAGCTTCTACCGCCTTCGCATGCGGGAGATTAAAGACGTTCAAACTCTTCAGCGTATTCCCCACGCATAATCCATCCTCATCCCTCTCTGTCACCATAATTGGGAAAGCATCGAGTATATCAAGCACCGAATCCCTGTCCATGTGCACCTGGAGGTACCGAAGTGGGCTTTTGAACAACATCGCGGCGAGCTGTACCGGTCCCTCGAAACTCTCCAACATAGGAAATTCAAGATGAAAGCCGTCTTCCCCATCGTGGTGGTCCCCTTGACCTATCAACGCCTCCTGATGCTTCCTATACTGAAAATTGAATTCCTGCCTATAGCCATGCCATGTCTCCCGCACCGTCAACTCCCTCAACTCGCTCTGAGTTCCCAAAAACCTCAACAAACTCCCATCAGAAGGGATATACGTTGAAAAGCTCTTCAGCCTAAACGGCGGATTCTCCGGAAATATATACGAGATGAACCTCCCATCATCGTCGACGAACCCTCCAGGTCCGTTCCCGCCCATCGGTGTTGTAGGATCGGTGAGCGTCAGCACCTCCAATGTGTCCATCTTCGCCAGCGCATCGCGTATGGAAGTCCAGAAAACGGCTGGAAACTTCGGGTAACGACTTGGTTTTACTGACATGATGCCGAAGTTACGGACGTGTGATGCTAGACGAGGTGTGGAGGCGAGGGTTATGCATAGGGAGTAGATGTGTTGGGGGCCTGAGAGGTGGAGGGTATGGTAGATGGCTCGTTCCGCTGGAGGGTAGAGGGCTTTGCAGACCACAAGGAGGGGACGAAGGGTGATAACGAGTGGGATTGACGAGGATTCGGCGATGTGCGTGACTATAAGGGAGGATATTGTGGGGTTTTGGAGCGCGGTCGAAGCTGGGCCGTTGGTGGCTCGTAGGACAGGACGCGGAGAAGCAGGTGTAGATGTAGCAGCTGGGGTTGAGGCAGTGGCGGAAGTGGCTGAAGTGCTTGCGCGAGTGGAGGAGATAACAGATGACGGTAGTGGTGGCGAAGGCGATGATGAAGACCTTGAAATTGGGTCTGACGAAGACATAGTATCAACTGGTCTGGTGCGAGTAGATGATGAGGTTGAACTAAGCGGGGGGTCTGTGGGTAAAATGCATGTAGTCAGCAGTTGAACGCCTTATAAACAACGATGACAAAGGTTCAAGAACAATGGAAGAAACGACGTCTTTGAAATAGGGAGCATGCTGAAACTTTCAGAAATCGTATATTGTCACACTAGGTGCCACGCGTGGGCCAACCCCTCACCTGTGTTGTGTAACGATTCCGAAACGTTGAATGAATTTACTATTAAATGTGCCAGCACAGTGAACGCAGAGAACTGGGCGCATAGACGAGATTATGCAGCGGTGTCGCGCTTCAACGGCATTGTGACGCTGGGCGCCACACGGAGCTCGAACGAGATGACACCAAGAGAAGACACGTCCAGTGATGCAAGCAAAGGCCCAGGCCATTAGATTGACTTTTGACCGCCCAAAGCAGAACTGTTTCAAGTTTGCCCTAGATTGGGTTGTGTAGCCACTTCAAAGCCACTCACCGCTTTCTGAGTCTTTCGGATTGGGAAGGTTATAGACTTCAATCATAACAGTGAACTCAGAATTGGCACGAACCCAAGTTCTGGGAACTCACCTGGATTGAAAGGGTAAAACGAGCGCAAATGAGGATAACTCACAATTTCACGGCAGTTCGACGGCGGTCGACTGTCGACGATGAGAGCAAGAAACGTGCGCCACACAAAGGACACGAAGGTTCATTTTGCTTCCGCTCTCAGGGTTAGGGTCAATTGAATGACTAGGGTTAGGGGCCATTATCCTGCCGCGTCCCGTGTTTGGATTCCATTTTGAACTGTCCGCTGATCATCTTACCCATCTACCTTTCTTTCCTGCTCATCGTTCCCGAAAACGACGAACAAACGTTAGCACTTATGGGAGAGTCAAGATCAGAACTCATTGCCTGGGTCAACGACCTTCTCCAGCTCAACTACACCAAGGTCGAGCAATGTGGAACGGGCGCGGCGTACTGCCAAATCCTCGACTCCATCTACGGTCAGTTTCTTTCGCTTTTATGAATTAGAACATCGTTATCGAAGGTTTTCACGACGTGTTTTCCTGAACGAATGTAATATCTCGCACGAACGCGTTATGTAGGCGATGTACCGATGAACCGTGTCAAGATGGGCGCGAAGCACGAGTACGAGTTTATCGCGAATTTCAAGGTCATGCAGAACATTTTCAAGACGAAACGGATTGACAAGGTGTGCACAAACTTTTATTTTTCTTGCTGGGGTCAGGCGTGGTAGCTTTGGACTGGTCGTTTTCATGGTCAAGAGCCGGTTAGGTTTGTGCGTGAGAGGTTCCGATTCGTAGAGTCATTCTCGAGAGCCTGACGCGATGAATGCACTGATGGTCATCGGTGGTACGTCGCGCTCTATGGTGATCGAGCCCGTTTGCTTGAGAGCTTCTGCTTATGCGGTGGACATGACAGGCATGATCCCATCATACGCCACCCGGAATACCGCGTCGGACCCTACGCCCAACATACTCTCAATACTAACTCTACCTTCTATCTCCTAGCCCATACCAGTCGAAAAGCTTGTCAAATGTAAAATGCAGTACGTATCCCCCATCAAGTCTCCTGTTCGTCTTCTCAACCACGGCCTTTTCTTCTTCCCAAACCCCCTCCTCTTATTCTCAGAGACAACCTTGAATTCTTGCAATGGATAAAACGCTACTGGGACTCCAACTACGGCGGCCAACCCTACGACGCCGTCGGCCGACGACGTGGCCAACCCACCGACACCCCCGCTACCATCGCTCCCCTCGCGCCATCTCGTGGCGCTCCAGCCGGGGGAGGCGCACGAGCCGGGGGTAAGACGCCGGTGAGCGGGCATAGGGCCGGAAGTGCGGCGGCTGTGAACCATGAGCAAGTCTTGAACTTGCAGGCGCAGTTGAAGGAGATGTCAGCACATTTGGAGGGGCTGGAGAAGGAGAGGGATTTCTATTTCGCGAAGGTGAGTTGGTCATGGTCCAGGATTTATGATTGAGAGATATATTTGTGGAGGTGAAAAGCGTGGTGTGGGGACATCAGTTTCTGATAGTGCTTTTTCGTGGTGTAGCTTCGTGATATCGAAATCCTGGCGCAGGCACAACTCGAGGTTTTGGAGGGACAGGGCAAGGACGATGAGACGCTGCGTGAGATCCAGAAGATTCTATACTCGACCGAGGTACGTCACCACCAAGAATCAGTTCCCTTACTCTCCCCCGACTCTTACTGACGTATACCACAGGAGGGCTTCGAAGTTCCCGAAGGTGGCGAAGGACACCTCGTCGATGAGGAGGAGACGTTCTAAGTTTGTCTTCTCCCACTCCACAATCGCCCTCTCTCTTCATCGCTTTCCTCTTCCAAGGCTCAGAGCCTTCCACCTCGCCCCTCCATTATATCATAACAGCCCCGATGGTTTTTGACCCATTTGTCTTGTATGGCTTGATTCCCTGGTTTTGTATCTATACCACCGATAGCCCCGTCTTCGCCCTCTTTCTCGTGATCATCCTCGTTCCGTTTCTTTCGCACTAGGAACTGAGCCTCTTCGACTGTCACCCTGGTCCAATAATTGTCGTCTTTTAATTCTCATGTGCTAAATAAACACAAATGGCATTCAACCCCAATCCCAATCTGGCTCTCCTTTCATTTCGTTTTGCCTTCCACTCGACTCGCTACTTTACCGAAAGACAAATATTTGGTTGGACACAAACATGGATGAGCTCAAGGCACGGCCGGTTGCTATGCGTTGGGTGGGGTGGCGTATTCTCCCAGACTCTTTCGAAGTCGGACTTGAAGTACGAGAGTCTTCGCAGCAGCCTAAGTCGCAGCTTGGGAAGCATCCTATGAACGTACTATATGCGTGGGTCGACCCATAGTGCAGGACTGTAGAAGCCCAGCCATGGGTTTACACCAAGATGGTCACCTCAATGGACCACCGCTCAGTTGGAATACTTCGTCTTATTCTCTCCGACAGTCTCGTTGGCTTTGCGTGGAAAGTTGATAGATATATTCAGCGCCCATGATCGACCCGGCATTTTCCGGAACTTTTGACTCCGTTCGCGTCCTCGAGGTTCGCGTCCTGACTCATCCACGTTAGACGTTCTTGCGTTTGTCTTCTATATCCTTACCACGAGACTGGAAACAGCGATCTCCAACATGGTGCCTATAGGCCGTTTACTAGTTTCTCCTTCCAACTTTCCCTACGGGCTTGCTTCTTTTGCGCTGTATACCGGGCGCGCTGAGCTCTGCGTTGACTCAAGTGTTTCCAACCAAGCCATGCTCGAGATCGACGACGGAAAGAGAATCACTTCTGAGGATGAGATTATGTGGTCTCTGGCAAGCACAACGATTGCCGGGGCTAGTAATGAAGTCAGCTTTATTGTTCGCTCCACCGACTCAAGAGCTCTATTGACTTGAACCACCACTTCACCTCATTGACAGGGCTCTACCTTTTTTGCGCTCGCTCATTCCCTGAATAATATCACGGAGTTCGATGAAGTTATTCTTGCCTTGGATAAACTCGACGACCACTGCGCTTTTCGAACCTATCTTGTAGGTCACGACATAACAGCCTCCGATTGGATGATCTGGGGAGCAATCAAAGGTTCAGTATTCGTACTTCTGTTTGCATGGTGTTTTTGGTAGTCGTTACTTCGTGATGTATTGCTGACATGGCTGTCTCGATCATTGATTAGGGTCTATCAAACTACTGGGAATCTTGAAGAGCGGACGCCACCTACACCTTCTTCGTTGGTTTTCTCACCTCGAGAGCCATCCCTCCGCGCAGTCAGCACTCCATGCCCTCGCAGAGGCAAAAGTCGCCAAGGCTCGCTCCGGCTCGAAGACTGCTTCTTCTTTCGCTCTTGGATTGCCTGGCGCTACTATAAACAACGTTGTCACTCGCTTTCCTCCTGAACCTAGCGGCTATCTCCACATCGGTCACGCGAAGGCTGCCATGCTCAACCAGTATTTCGCAAAGATGTACGGCGGTCGGCTCATTATACGTTTTGACGATACCAATCCTTCTAAAGAACGGGTGAGTTTGAGTTATATATAGTGTATAGATCTGTATTCTCACGCGCCGACTCGCTTCCGGTAGACCGAGTTTGAAGAAACCATCTTAGACGACCTCCGTCTTCTCGGTATTGAAGGCGATACGATCACTCACACGTCCGACCACTTCGACAAGCTTCACGAGTTCGCCATCCAAATGATCAAGTCAGGCAAAGCGTACGCCGACGATACCGACAACTCCGTCGCTCTCGATCTCCCCTGCTCTTGCCCAGGAAAGCAACACGGGAAGCAGTCGCGAATGGCGTACGAGAGATGGCATGGCATACCCTCCCTGAGACGCGACGCGTCCGTCGAGGAGAATCTCTCACGCTTTGCAGAAATGAGGGCAGGTACGGCGGAGGGACAGCGTTGGTGCATTCGAGCGAAGATCAGTGTCGATGACCCCAATAAAGCGATGAGAGACCCAGTCGTATACCGTACCAACACAACGCCACACCATCGAGCAGGGTGAGGCGACTTGGCTGATGCTCTTATCATTTTGACTTTCGCTGACGCCAAATATTAAACAGAGACAAGTGGAAGGTGTACCCTACCTACGACTTCGCCTGTCCTGTTGTCGACTCCTTGGAGGGTGTAACGCATGCATTGAGGACAAATGAGTATCGCGACCGCAATCTCCAGTACATGTGGATGAACGATGCCCTGGGGCTTCGTCCCGTTCAGATTTGGGATTTCAGGTAAGTACTCGCCATCTGTGGCTCGGCGCCTTCACTGCCGCATGAAACCACACAACTGACAGACTGTTAGTCGTCTGAACTTCGTATATACCCTTCTTTCGAAGCGAAAGCTGCATTGGTTTGTTGACCAAGGCCTCGTTCGCGGCTGGGACGATCCACGGTTGCCTACAGTTCGGGGTGAGTTGGTTCTATGCGTCGCACTTGCTTGGCCCAACGGGATGAATACTTATCAATCTGCTACGCAATCTATCAGGAATACGTCGTCGTGGTATGACCGTCGAGGGACTACGGCAGTTCATGCTATCTCAGGGTCCCTCTCAAGCCGTCGTTTTGCTGGAGTGGGATTCCATCTGGGCGTTGAACAAGAAAGTCATCGACCCGGTCGCTCCCCGATTCTGGGCTCTTCTCAAGAGTGACGTGTAAGAAACCTTCTTTCTGCTGTTTCTGAGTGCCAGTGTACTGAACATATGAGTAGGGTGCCCGTGACGGTCATCAATGGGCCGACGACGCCGGAACTCGTGATGCAGCCTAAACATAAGAAGAACGCTGCTGTCGGTGAGAAGAAGGTCGTCTACGCGTCGTCTATTCTCATCGAGCAAGCGGATGCGATTACTTTCGAGGAGCAGGAGGAGGCAAGCATTTTTCCATTCCGTCTATGGGCCCTTTGTGAATTGACGACTCATGAAGATCACACTTATGTCCTGGGGCAATGCCATCGTTCGCTCTCGCGAGTTGTCCGGATCCGGTCAAGTCCTGTCTATGACGATGGAACTGAACCTGCAGGGCGACTTTCGACTGACGAAGAAGAAGGTCACTTGGCTCGCGGCACCGTCAGGCGATTATCGCCCCCTCGCCGACGTCACCTTTTTGGATTACGACTATCTCATCACTAAGAAAAAGGTGGAGGAAGGCGATAGCCTCACTGATCTCGTCACTCCAGTCACCGAGTTTCGGGAGGAGGGTGTCGCGGACGCAAACGTCCTTGAACTTACGCCGGGCGACATCATACAGTTCGAGCGGAAGGGGTATTATATCTACGATGGGAAGGGAGGCAAGGGGCAGGGTAAAATGGAGTTCATCCGCATTCCGGATGGGAAGGCAGCGAGCTTGGCCAGTAAAGCCGGGGTGTGACGGGGGCTGTTTAGCGATATGGGAATCATACAGGGAAGGAGATCAATGACATGTCTTGCGCTCCGAACTCGGATGATGTGGATCAAATTTAAGACTTTCCTGCGCCAGTGTTGGGGGAGAACTCAGCATCCGAGGGCATACGAATCGATGGGAATATATTCAGCCGGATGCCTCAGGAGAACGGACGCAGCGAACATTGCATTATGCACAAGTGGTACACTCATGATACACTGAGATAGGCCGGATATTTCCATCGTGAAAATGTTGTGTCACGTATGTCTTTGGCGGATCAAGTTGAGGTCATCCCCAGAAGAGCCTCCTCACTTATTCAACTTCGTCCGGCTCGACGTGTAAGGCGGAACTGGCTCGTGGTCTGTGCTCGATTTCGTGTCTCTGCGTAGACTAATGTAACTGCGCAGGAACAAAATAGATCGTCGGGTGACAAAAGATAAATTGACAGCTATAGTATTTGTTCCACCAAATTGCTGAAGATTACACTGTGTCGCTGTATCTCAATGAGAACATTTAGAAATTTGACGCGTTTGTGTCCTGACCATTGCCAATTGAATACGTCCTGCCAACAACCAACCTCATAGCAGCAAAATCTCCAACGATAGGTCGAGGATTCCTCCATGAACCTTGGAAAGAATGCATATAAGGCACACCCTACTGCATCGTACAGGAGACCAAGAACATAGAACGTGCTCGGAACAGTACACTGCTTTTGAGCGACTCCCGTGGCCTGACACCGCCGGAATTAGTAGTGACTTAAGGATTGACGAAAGAAACTCACCTTGAACTGTTGTTCCAGATGTTCCACAAACATTCGAAGCGTAGGTATGGACAGGGCTGCCAAGTGCGCAACAGCTTCACATTCTCCCGGAATATTGTCTATGTTAACGAAATAGCCGCTCGTGAACTTCTCGGGCACCATGGGGACAACCTTATTGACACATTTTGCTGCAAACGGGAAGGGCCGTTGTGAGCTGCCCAAAGTGGGAGCTGAGGAAGGTAGTATGACTGAGCAGACAAAATCCACCAGGGCGGAAGGCTGGATGACACTAGGAACAGGAATCGATCTTGACCCATGGCTTAAGCGGTATTCAGAACAACAGTCGACAGGAACGTACCTCAAAACATCACAGTGTGGCATCTGACAGCACAAGTCAAGAATGATAGAGTTGAAGGACCATGATCCATGCATATCTGAGCAATTCATGGAGGCCGTTCCCGCACCTATGGATAGCACCTTCAACAGCATCCACCCCAATTTACGGCTATCGATGGCACCCAGAGTGCTTAGGGGGGGTGGGTGCGCTACATAGCGAACTAGAGGATTATAGATCCTAGTCTCAAGCTCAAGACATTCTAGGTATGGCCGCAACAGCGTTCCTGGAGGGTATTGAGGCGACTATTGGCCCGTGTTCAAGTTCAGCGACGTTCTAGCGCAGAAAAGTAAGAACAAACGGCGAATTGCATACCTTCCAAGCCTCCGGTAGTTCAAGGGAATTGTTCCTAATCCTGTACTCCATTTGTCGCAGGTTTCCAATAATCCCGGCAATTGAATCCGAATGATGCGGACGTATTCCACCAAAAAATATCCACTTCCATTCGCTTTCGGCTAAGGCTCTTTGAGATGGATAATTTATATTATGTATATGTAGAGTGCTCGTCAAATATTCATCCTCACCTAGTGGGAGTAGAAGCTATAGACATGCTTGACACATGCAGACTGATTCAGCCTTTGGGTCTTGCACAAGTCCGGCAACCAGGGGTACCTATGGTAGAAGCTTTCTGTAAATACCGGTAAAAGACACAGACACCCTCGATGACACAGTTACAATATTACGTGGATGGGCAAGACCAGTTCTCATACCTTTGAAACGAGTTACTTATTCGAGAGTCGAGACGAGCTTGAAACTCAGGTTTGACCCAAGTTTGACCGACCCCTATTGGAGTTACAGTAGCGTTGGTCCTATGATTAGAACATAACAATGAGTCAAGCCTAATTCACATCGATAGTAGTACCAACTGTGGTGGATGATCACCGTGAAATGCTGCGTTCCGTGTCTCCACGCATGAACAACGATTTGAACAGTTCCCACTGATATACGCACGTGCCGTCACCGGGATTTGCCAGTTCAACTCGCACCAAATATTTGGACGCTTTCATAGCCGAACGAAAGGCTCACATAAGATCGTGAACTGGATTCAATCTAACGCTCTCTAGCTACCATTCTAGAACGGGCGTTGTCTCGTGGATGACTTTCACAAAAGATATGGACAGGTTGGTTCTACTTCATCACACTGCTTCGATACTCTCGGATACTGCTAAGATTCGGATAAGTAGATGGCATATTTATCGCAGCCTTGATGACATCGAGCCCGACATCGCTGTTTCATGCTCGGCGGCGATCTCGCATGTTAAAAGAATGAAGGCCTGCTGGGAGTCGACAAGAGAGAAGTGGGGCATTCCCGCTGACTGGATATTGGTGAGCATTGTAACAGCAATGATGTTTCCGATACTCACAAGATCTGACGAGTATCTACCTAGCCTCCGTCCCCTCCTGAGGTGTATTATCGACCTGCCAGATATAACCGTATGCTAGTGCGATCCTTTCAAGTTGTTCTTCAGGACATAGGCGATCGGGTGCAGCCGATTAGCCTCGAGTCTCTTCTCGCACGCCGTGTTGGTCCGTCGTCGGTCGAGCCTGATTTTCTGTTACATTTACCTGCATCCACGGGAGAAGACGATCACTGGCGGACTCTCGAGGACTCTCTCCTTAGTAATTCTTTTTGGTGTTTGACGCACTTCAACCAAATGGCAACTTATACTGGCGACGACGAAGAGATTGAGGGAGCCATCGCCGGAATTTTGTCGATGACCCCAGGAATGGCCGTTCGGAAGTGGGTTGATTTTCTTGCTGTGGAAGGGAACGAACGCTAAAGAACCTGTAGATTTCCCAGTATCAATTTTCGAGATTTTCCGTTGTCGACAAGCTCCCCTGATTTCGCTTTGCTCTTGAATCGCATCGCAAGGTCAGAGTACACGTCGACGTGGTTCCAAGCCGACGACTTGCATCCGGCATTGATACTCGGCAAACGAGCTGCTAGCTCGTATTCAAGTGGTCCAACCCACCCAGATTTGCAGATTCTCTTCGACTCGGATAATGATCTCGCTGATCTTGCGCGACTCGTTGAGCCGCATTTGAATGCTCACGTACTAAACTGGCGTATCCTGTGCGAGCAGGACCCAAATGCTCATCGTACTCACCTTCCTCCTTGGTTGATGTCATTCGGGCTGCTTTATCATGGCGATATGAACGGCCACCTTTCCATAGTTGCCCATATCCCTCACCTTGATGAAACCGTACAGCCTCTCGATGCCGTCTCCGAGTCTCCTTCTTATTCGTTCGTCTCTTGTGTCGTCGACACCATACCCCTACCTGGCATTGCCTCCGAATCGAACATAGAAGATCATCCATCTTCGCCCGAATCGCCGTATCTCGCCAATTTCAGGGCTGCTATCGCTCTGCTGACTTTAAAGCGACATGCACTCGTCGCTTCAGACGCATGGGAGAAGGTCATACGCTCACAGTCGATCGAGGATGCTATCGCTGAAGATGAGCTTATTCACTTCGGGTCTATAGGTCCCGCCTCGGAGAACGAGAGGGAAGACCCTTACGCTGTTGTATTAGATTACGAAGACGAGGAGGAGTGTGAGGACGATGAGGAATATGAGGAATATGAGAACACGGAATTGGAGGTTATTGAAATGGAGGCGGTGGAACTGGACGAGGGTACGAGAGAGCGTGTTATTCTATGGATGGAGAGCTTGTGTCCGAACCTGGATTTACTAGATGGAGAATCGACACTATCGGAGGATCGGAAGATTTCACTGAGCCTTTATCGTGAGTTTTTTGTGTCTTGTCAGTAAAGTGAAACTGAATCCAGTATGACTTCTTTGTGTCGCTGCTTAGAATCCGAGGCGTTCAATATTGGGCTTCTCCAAGAGGTGATCAAGGCTTGGCCGCTACATCTCCGAGATCTCGATGAAAGGCCGCCATCTCCTTGAATTCTCGTTGCAATGTAGACCTACATATGTGCATGCCAAACCATGTAATGAGATACGGGATATCCTTTTTTTCCAAGACCGCGCAGAGTATTCGAAGTTTCAAGACACAATATACAGGGCGTATGACGAAAGTGAAGACTTCGCCATTTGAAAACATTGCCAACCCTCCATCAGATCCCCATTTGACCCTACGAAATGGGAGAAACACAGCGAAAGCTGGACCTGTTACCAAAATTCCCGACCCAGTCCGGCATGAAGACCGTACTTGTACTCGTATGTGTGCATGCACTGAGCCCTGCAAAGGAAGGATTCGCGCGGAAAACGAGCATGGCTGCAGAAATTGTAGCAGGATAAAGAGACGACAGGAAATACACCGCTCATGCGAACATCCCTTTGCTGAACAGACAGACTGAGCAGAGGCGAACAACATACGCATAAATGGAGGGACTGATGATTCTAGACCTATAGTTCGAGTGCTCATGGGAGCGGAGACGATGGCGTTGCGAGTGAGGGCTGTATTGATGGTGGCAGGTAGTGACCGATGAAGTAACTCGAGTGCTCGCCATGATGCATGGACGGAAGTGTTATCTGAGAAGGGGACAATTGAAAGAGACATAACAACAGCGAAAGATGAAGACGAGATAGACCGCATATGAAATCCCGAGGAGTTGCTTTGAGGGAAAGAAGCGTTAATGAGTGAATAAATACAAAGGAATAAGCACCAAGGCCGCAGTGGGATGATGCACAGGCCTCAGACGATGAACACTTGACTAGCTACCCTCTGGCTATAACACGGGTATCAGTTCGATATTAACCCAGCTCAGAACATGAAGCACAAAAAGCACGCCTACGCACGGATCCAAAAATTCATCCCCACCCCCCTCACCCACTTCTCTCGTACTCAATATCGATTATAACCCAATCCCATTCGCACCCCTCACAGGCGGCCATATCCCCTCCTTCAACCTCGCCTGCATCTCCGTCTGGGCGGCCGGTTGGTCCTTAGTACCCGTACCTGAGTCCGCTTCCATAATGCGCGCTGTGTCTGTGTCTGTGTCGTCCGGTGGGGTTGAACGACCGCCTGTGATATTGGATATTGGCAGGTTAGAATCGCAGTGTGTCGTGTGGAAGAGGATACGAGCGAGACAACAAGCACAACACCCGGAACGTGACGCAAGACTTCAACTTACAACAGGCTTTGAATCCGCTTATACAAAATGGCGCTGCATATATATATATATATATATATATATGTATGTGCCGACCGACCGACCGACCGAGAAAAAGGAGTAACGAAGACAAGCAGCATTAATATGGTAATGAGGACGAGGGAACAGGTTAAACTTATAATGACGAACCACATAGCTGTCCGAGACAAAACCCGGGATCTCCCTCAGGCTCCATGATGATGCTGCCGTGCGGAGGATTGAGATGGGGTTATGTGGTGTGGAAGGAAGGAAGGAAGGACGGAGGGAGGGAAGGAAGGAAGGAAGGAAGGAAGGAAGGAAGGAAGGAAGGAAGGAAGGAAGGAAGGAAGGAAGGGATGGGCCTTGGAACGTTCACTTTATGTAGGCGTTAGGAGAGGTCTAACCTTGGTACAAGCTTAAGTTGACTGAAGCACCACACGGAACGATGAAAGCGAAGGAGCAATGACGTCTGTGCCGTGTTGTTGATGTTGATGTTTACCTGATGAGAAATCGGAGGCGAGGATGGAGATAGGATATGGATGGAAATGAAGTTGATGTTGACTGTCCAGCGCTGCGCGGGCTAAGTTATGTGGGGCTTGATCGCACGAGCGCCACAGACCGGAGAAGGAGAAGTAATGGAAGGTATAGAGTAGTGCTTTTACCGGATCAGTAAAAACTTGATTCAGTCAGTTGAGGTTCATGAGGGCTCGAGAATACTATGTGGGATGAATATACACATCATGCTCAAAGTTACGGCCATAGCATAGGAAGATACACACATTCATGAAGATGAATGAGCATGTAAGTAGGTACCCTTACACTGTAAAAACGGGGATTAGCTCGACGTCAACCCAGCTCAGAATAGTAATCAACACCTACGAACCCAAAACGGCAAAAGGCCTCTGACTCCTTCCCATTTATGTCCTTCTCTGTCTCGCTATAACTCGTACAGGTTATAGCCCAATCCCGTTCGCGCCCCTCACGTGCGGCCTAATACCCTCCTTCAACCTCGCCTGCATCTCCGCCTGCGCGCCCGGTTGATCCGTAGTACCCGTACCTGAATCCGCTTTCACAACGCGCGCTGCGTCTGTGTCGTTCGGGGGAGTTAAACGACCGCCTGGATGAGTTGGATCATGATGTGGACGAGAAAACGTAGACTCAGAACGATTGGATGTGACGCTTAGACTTACAGCATGCTTTGAATCCGCTCCTACAGAATGGCGCTACATAACATGTGGCACGTCGGAAAAGCAACATAGTCAGACGGACAGCCGGGTAGACAGAACAGAAATCGACCGGATCGAGGATGAGAGACAAAGTATGATGCACGACATACCACATAGTAGCCCAAGACAAGCCCCGCCGCCGTCTTCCATGATCACAGTGCAGAACAGCACAGTTTTGTGTTGTTTACCTGGGCTTCTGTGGAGGTTTGAGTGGAGGAGGAGGGGGAGGGCAGAGATGATATGATGTGCTGTGAGATGAGTGGTTATGTAGGCGTCAGTAAGATAGCAAGAAAGTCATCATGAGGTCTATCAAAGCTAATGCTAATATAAGATGTAGCAGGAGCTGTACGGAGCACCTGAGCACCGAAAGCGAAGGAACATTGACGCAGGTCCGTTGATGTTCGCCCATGAGGAATTAGAGGTGGGGGATGGGGTTGGTATATGGATGTAAATGAGGATGGGAATGATGCTCAGCGCTGTGGTATTGGATGCGTGATCATTCGAGTGCTGGATGGGGAGGATGAAGAGCAGTAAGTAGATTAGAAGGACCAGGATGGTTGATGAATTCGTGTCACAAGAGCTTGTCATGAGTGCGACTAGCAAAGAGGATGAAATTCCGAACTGTCGTTCGCACGCGTTTGGTTGTGGACCGATAACGAAGGGGATGGTGGCTGAGATGGAGACGGAGATGCGGACAAAGACGAAGACAATGAGTACAAAAAGCTATCTGTAGGGTTGCGTTGGTCAATGGAAAAAGCTAAAGACGAATTTGAACTGGCCATGGCAGAGGGTGGTATAACCTAACCAAAGTTCGATCCGTCATGCATCCCCCCATGTCTAAGTAACAGTCTACAGAATAAGACCTGAATATGATTCCTTCCTTCCTTCCAAATAAAAACGATCGAGCGCTCAATATTAACCTGCGTCGAACAGCATCTAGACAGCCTCCACGTCGAACTTGCTTTCTCGCCGTCGTACATCTCTCCAGAGTCCAGAGCAAGTAAGCGCTGCGCTGAGAACGTACACCGTCCAGTGGTCGGTGGCCAGGGGCACGATTGACGGATATTTATGTGCGTTGCCAAGGAAGGAGACGGAGAGAAGAAGTAATTGATTGATGGTATTTTCGTTGTTGCGGCATTTGTTCCATCAATGAGGATTTGCACGGTGAGTCTACGGTCGAGTGGATGCCGTTGATGAGAGGCACAGACTGGTAGACTGAGTCAAGCATCCCTACAATAATTGTACCAGCGGATTGTCGAGGTTCACCGAAGCCGTATAGAGTACAACAGTTGATGTCTCAGTGAGCCGTGAGGAGTTGGTGAGGAGAGGTGAGGAGCCGTGGTAAGGCCACAGTGGCGAAACTACGTCAGGAGGGAGCAAGGACTGCCATTTCGGGCCAACCACCCGTTTCGGGCTGTTCGTTCGTCGAAGCGCTGTGCAACGTCTGATTCCTGTGCAACGAATTTACTTGCTAGTATATTTCGCACAGCTTGGCGCAGCTCGACGGGAGAGCCCTGGCGCAGTTGTACGACAGATTCATCAGCTTTGCTTTTGCTTTTGAGCGCGCGCTACTTTGCCATCCACCATCAATCCCTTCTCGTCCAGCTCATCCACCATCATGTCTCATTATCCACCAGAGGTACGTATCTCTTTCTCAGTCCTCGCTAACAGTAATCCTAATACGACTGAACACAGGCGGACGAAGCCCAGCGGGGCCACTACAACGACGGCTACAGCCCCTACCCTCAATACGACCCCCACGGCCAACAGCAACAACAACCACTGTACGACCCACACCCCCAACAACAATCCTACGCCCCGCCCATGCCCGACCCCTTCGCGAATCCTTCCCTCTCACCACCTCCCCCACCCCCACCCCTCACGACGTACGGTGGTGCGGCCCCAGAACCCTACCAACCCCTAACCTTCGATCCCTACGCCCAGAGACAATCTTATGTCCTCCCCCCGACGTCGCCGCCCACCGGACCGAGCTATATCTCCCCCCCTCAGCACCAACAGGCTCTGCACCCTGAATACACGGGATATACGAATACGGGCGCAGGATACGGCGATCCGCAGCCACAACCGCTTTATGAGGGCGGGTATGAGCTGCATGATGGAGGTGAAGAACACGAGATGATGGATAGTGGGGATATGCCCCTCCTGCGAGCGCCGTCGGGGAGTCGACCGCCGCTGGGTGGGATGGGAGGGATGGAGGAGGGGGACGGAGAGGGAGGGATGCCGGGCGGGTATGATGCACAGTCGCAGGAAGAGGATACGAATATTCGGTATGGGAGGATCCCGCAGCGCGTGCCGAGGCGGTATAAGACGATTAAGAAAGTAGAGTGAGTTTTCGAGTTTTTTTTTATCATTGGATGTTGGGTCCGTGGCAGGGGCGGTTCGACGGCGGTGGTAGACGCTCGTGTGGCGTCGAGCGGGTGCCACAGACGTGTCGACGACCCCTATTGACAGCGCAGGTTCCTCCTTCCTGCCCTCGCCGACACGAATACCGGTCGTGTTCTGTCGGCGCAGAATGCACGCCTCCCCAGTTCGACGGCGTTGATGGATCTGCCGTAGACGCTGGTGTGGCGTCGGCGGGTGCCACAGACAGTGTCCACGACTCCTATTCACCGCGCAGGTTCCTCCTTTCTACCCTCGCAAAGCCGACTACAAAAATCCTCGCCTTCTTTGTCTTGATGACAAATTATGAGAGGGCATAACGAACAGAACGTTGGTTTCTGCCTGTGCGGAAAACAGCAACCGGCGGTGTGATGCTGCCACCGTTGCATCCATCCACCTCGTTTCGCATGTCCTTTCTGGCCTCGCAAAAACGAATACTGTTCGGATTCAGTCGGCGCACGCCTCCCTTATCTTGATGACACATTCTGAGCGTGCAGATCAAACAGACCATCGCTCGCGTTGGTTTATGCCCGTGCGGAAAATAGCAACTGGCGCTGTTGCATCTTATGGCAGTGGTTGCCCAACGGCGGTGGTGGGGAATATTTAAACCACAGCCCGTCATAGACGCTCGTGTGGCGTCGAGCGAGTGCCACAAACAGTCTTGACTACCCTATCTTGCCACCGTTGCATCCTTCCTACGAGGTCCTATAGCACACACACATACACAAATTGTCGCAGAAAAGGCAAACATGCGCATCTCCCCACGTCGTTCTTCGTACCTCTACGAGCCTAAACTGACTTCCTCCGCCCCCCTCCTCCCCACCGTAGACTCTTCCACGGCAACTTCGTCCTAGACTCCGCTGTCCCGACCAAATTGTTGAACATGTGCGCCCAACGCGACGAACGCGAATTCACCCATATGCGTTACTCCGCCGCCACCTGCGACCCTAACGACTTCAAAGACTCCGGCTTCACGCTCCGTCAAGTACATTACGACCCCCCTCGGCGCACGGAACTCTTCATCGTAATGACGATGTACAACGAAGACGACGGACTGTTCACGCGGACGATGCATGGCGTCATGAAGAATATCGCGCATCTGTGTAAAAGGGACAGAAGTAAGACGTGGGGCAAGGACGGGTGGAAGAAGGTCGTGGTTTGTGTGGTGAGCGATGGGAGGCAGAAGATTAATTCGAGGACGTTGAGTGTGGTCGCGGCGATGGGGGCGTATCAGGATGGGATTGCGAAGAATATCGTGAATGGGAAGCCGGTTACGGCGCATATATATGAGTATACGACGCAGAGTGCGTCCCTTTCCCCTTTCCCTTCCCTCTTCCCTCTTCGCTCCCTTCCCGAGCGGACGGATGCTGATGAAAAGTGATGGTGAAATAGTCTCCGTCACCCCCTCCAACAAAATCGAAGGCGCCGAAAAAGGAATCGTCCCCGTCCAAATCATCTTCTGCCTCAAAGAGAAAAACCAAAAAAAGATAAACTCCCACCGCTGGTTCTTCAACGCCTTCGGCCCCATCCTCCAGCCCAACGTCTGCGTCCTCCTCGACGTCGGCACCATGCCCGGGCCCACGTCGATTTACCATTTGTGGAAGGCGTTCGATATTAACTCTGATGTCGGGGGCGCGTGTGGCGAGATCGTGGCGTTGAAGGGGAAGTGGGGACTTAAGTTGTTGAATCCGTTGGTGGCGGCGCAAAACTTCGAATACAAAATGTCAAACATTCTCGATAAGCCGCTGTGAGTACCCTCCTTTCTTCCCTCCGTTATGACGAGCTGACCGCGGAAACGATGCAGTGAATCGATATTCGGATATATCACCGTCCTTCCCGGTGCGTTCAGCGCCTATCGGTACATCGCGCTGCAGAACGACGTGAACGGCGAGGGCCCGCTGCAGAAGTATTTCTTGGGGGAGACCATGGTGTGTTTCTCTCTCCTCTCCTCTTAATGATTGGACAAGACTGACGAAAGAATGGAATAGCACGGCGCGGGCGCGGATATCTTCACGGCGAATATGTATCTTGCGGAGGATCGTGTATGTTCTTTTCCCCTTTCGCTTTCCTTCCTTCCTTCTCTTCCACCCTCCTTTGTTTGTGCTTGTGAGGCTGATGAGTAGTATGTAGATCCTCTGTTGGGAACTCGTCTCGAAAAGGGGCGGGAGCTGGATATTGCATTATGTCAAGTCTGCGTATGCGGTCACGGATACGCCTGATCAGGTCCGTTTCGTTATTTGTGCTGTTATCCGCAACTACAAACGACAAACGAACAAAAAGTTGACTGACTCCTTGTTTTTTTCGACTCACGTCCCGTCCCCCCTCCTCCTCCCCCGCCCCTCCGCCCCACAGATCCCGGAACTCGTCTCCCAACGCCGCAGATGGCTCAACGGCTCCTTCTTCGCCGCGATACACAGCACCGTCAAGTTCAACTACCTCTACCGCTCCTCTCACTCGTTCGCGCGCAAGGCGTGGATCCACGTCGAGTTGTTGTATCAGACTTTTAATTTGATCTTTTCGTGGTTCGGGCTCGTACGTTCCTCCCTTCACCCCCCTTCTATCACTCCCCCTCCCCCCCTTCCCTCCCCCCCTCCTGATCTGTTCCTGCCGAACTGACGATCTGGCGTGCTAACCGACCTGGCGATCTGGCCCGAAACAGGGCAACTTCTTCATCTCCTTCTTCGTCCTCACCAACGCGCTCGAAGACCCGGACGTGATCGGCGGCACGGCGATCAAAGTGATCAACACGATCCTGCAGTACGCCTACGTCGGTCTGTTGTTGATGTGCTTCATGCTCTCGCTGGGCAATCGGCCGCAGGGGAGTAAGTGGGGGTATACGCTGGCTTTCGTGGGCTTTGCGGTGTTTACGGTTTATATGACCGTGAGTTCTCTCTTCGTTTTATGTCCGTTTGAGTACTAGGGGATGAAAGGGGGAAAAGGCGGGAAAGGGAATGAGAGCTGATTTGACGTGGTGTTGTTTTGTGTAGTTCTCGGCGTTTTACCTAGCCGTGATCGGCATCAAAGAGGTCGCGGCGGACGAGAGCGGGGGGATCACGTTCAAGGACCTGTTCACGAACTCGATCTTCAGGGATATCGTCATCTCGCTCGCGAGCACGCTCGGGCTGTATATCTTGGCTTCGTTGATCCATGTATGTCCTACCTTCCCCCTTCGTTCCATTCCAACCCCGTCGTTTGACCGTTGATCACTCCCTTCGTTTGAACGTTGTCCACCCCCTTCGGTTTCGTCGTTGGCTGAACTTGTGGTGATGGTACAGTTCGACCCGTGGCATATGGTTACTAGCTTCTTGCAGTATTTGTTGTTGGCGCCGGGGTATATCAATGTGTTGAACGTGTATGCTTTCGCGAACGTCCAGTGCGTCCTTTCTTTCCATCTTCATTCACACCCACACTCACTCTACCCTCGCCCCCTCCAGCGACGTCTCCTGGGGCACCAAAGGCGACAACAAAGTGAACACCGACCTCGGCGAAGTCAAAACTGGTAAAAACACGAACGAAGTCGAGGTCGCGGTCCCGACGGCGGAGACGGACATCAACGCGGCGTATGAAGACGCGATACACGTGCTGAGCACGAAGCCGCCGAAGGAGGAACAGAAGGTGGACGCGGCGACGATGCAGGAGGATTATTATCGGAATTTTAGGACGAAGTGCGTTTCCCGTTTTAGTACATCCTGTGGTTTGAGGAAGGAGAGAGATCGGGACTGACGGGTTGTGGGTTTGCGTTACAGCGTGCTTATGGCTTGGGTATTGTCGAATGCGTTGTTGGTCGCAGTTATTTTGTGAGTTGGGAACTCCTTTTTTGTTTTTTGTTTTGTTGTGTATAGATGTTGTGGCTGACGTTGGCGTGGCGCTGCAGGACGACGAACGGCGACGCGTCCTCGAGCGGGGCGAACAGTACGGTGAATGGCTATTTGCTGTTCATCCTGTGGTCTGTCGCGGTTCTGGCTCGTAAGTCCCCCCTCTCCCCCCCATCGCTCCAGATATGCGGTGCTTACTGTGCATGTCGATGTATATAGTCGTGCGGTTCCTCGGGTCGACAACGTATATGCTTATTCGGCTGTTCGCTGGAGAGTAAGCGCGGTGGATGTGATTGTGGTGGTTACGACTCAGAACGCGTTTGTATGACCTTCGTCTTGGCTCTTTTTCTTTTCCTGCTCGACTCCTTTCCGTCCTTTTCGACTGCCAATTGCTGTGGATGGACTCTGACTCTGATGTTGTGTGTGTCCGTGACCCTTGAACTGTGAATTAAACGTCTGTCTATACTACCTCTCTCAATCCCTTCTCGATTCTCGTAGATATACCCTTGCTTCACACCCCTATCTATCTACATCGTCCTACCCTCTCAGACTCCATCGCTTCTTTCCTGCGCTCTCAGACTTCAGACTTCATGGCGTACGTCCTCATTTCTCGGTTTTGTGCCCCTTTCTTTTCTCGATGCATTTTCTGTACTCGTACACTACTGTGACGACGGGTGGCGATGACGATGGCTGCGACTGCTGATGTTCGATGTCCGATATCTATTACGCGTATGAATATTGACTGTCAAATGAACTCTACGATTCTTTTTCTGTCTTCTGTAAGGTACTCGACGAGTGCTGCCATACATCGCACTTTCATGAGACGTCTGTTCGCCGCCACGCCAATAATCTTCGTCGGTCCTTGGGTGACAGATTGTTATATGCCACTACCTTGATTTCCCCCGTCGAGATAGCGTTCGATCGTGGTTGGCAGAGAGATACAATAAGAAGATACGGGTGTTCGCCTCTTCAAATTCCTGAATCAAGTAAATATGTGGAGTAATATCGTAAAACCTGATACAGTCGTTGGACCACTGTTACAAACTAGTTCCTTTTCCTCACTGTTCGCTCGTATCCCAGCAGATCACTTTTGAGTTTCGCATACACAGAGTATAGCATCTTGAGATGCGGATACTATTTGGCTTGAGTCCTGACTTCGCAACCGCATCGAGGGCACTTCATAAAGCAGAGGAAAGATCAGAATAAAGGCCTGAGCGATACTGGCAAGATCATGACATTGTTTGAGCAGGCAACATTCCTCTCACGACGTTAAAGCATCCAACGCGATCCGCTGATCCTCTTCCCAAAGCTCTAAACCCCGCCAAACGTACTCCCCAGTCCAATCGACGAACGTAATCCATTCGAGCAGTTGGCGTAATGTACGGCCCTCTTCTAGGGCTTGGGCATAGAGAGGACATTCCGTTCTCGAGATCTGACCCGACAGCGATCAGCAACTATGTTGAGAGATGGGAAGAAGGCGGGAGTGAGTGGGGAACGAACCTCAAGTATGAGAGCTCGTAGGTGAGTTGCTTCTTCGATCGATGGGCGCTGTTATTGGATATGAGTCAGGTGAAAGACGGAGACGGAGACGGAGGGTTAAGGAGGAGTGTAAGCATACTACCATATGACTGTTCATGAACTCTATATCCCCATACTCGTTCAGAGCTGCATAACGCTGCTCTCGCATACCGTCGTAGCGTATATAGGGAGGATATTCGGCCGCCAGGCAGGTGGGTAATATGTAATGGGACTGAAATATGCAGATCATTAGTGGAAAACGGCGGGTAATTAGGTCATGCAAAACATCGTGCATACCTCCCAATCTACCAAACCACTGAATCGCCCATTGTCCACGAGACAATTCCGATCGTGTGGGTCCCCATGAACCAGACGTGGAGTGAGAAGGACGTTCGAGTCTGAGCTGATACGATCGCAGAGACGGGTGGATAGAAAGCAGAGACGGTCAATCAAAGCGTCGGTGTCGACGTTCGGATTATCAGTTGGTTCAACGACGATGCTTCGAATACGCCAGTCCATGTATCTTACGGAATTATCATCAATGAGAACTTGTTCAATTGAGGGGTATAGAAACGGACGTACTGCTGTAGACTGGTGAATGGCCCTCCCGGAGATTTTGCTTCTTCCGTGATACGTCCTATTCGTGGATGACCCTCATCATCAAAACCTTCGATCATGCCAATTGGACCAGGCAGTTGGACATTAAACACCCAATGTAATGCACGAGTATATTCTGTCAAGAACAACGACTATCGTTCTCTCGGCAATCAATCGCAGCAGTAAACAGACACCATTGAGGCCACTGACCCAATCAAACACGGCGAAGCTGTCCGTACAGGATAATTGGAGAAGGTTCTGCCCTCGCAGACGTGCCTCGATAATAAAAGGCGCTTGAATGGGGTTGTTCGGGTCTGGATCGAACGCTAGGAGCCTCGGTGCGAGGAGATCCGGAGCTGATGAGGCCAAAAAGTTGAGAATATCGGCTTCTTGTTTTGTTTTGCAGCGAGCCTCTTGCAAACCGAGGTCGGTGTCCTGCGACTCGGGTATAAGTAGAGGACTGAGAAATTGACATGCAATGAGTATGGCGATAGACTGACTGTGAAATTGTACCGAATTCTTGCAATACATGGCGGTTCGGTGTGATCCCGTAAGATAAGACCGTATATCTGATAAAGCGCAGTAATAAATCTGGAATAAGCCTTATATGGGACAAAATAGAGAATGAGAGCATAGCAGCGACGTACAACATGGAATACCCCATGGCCCAGAATCTTCGGTTCGACGCCTATCACCTCTCGCCCCAATTTTGCGGTAAAATGAGCAAGCATAGACTTTGAACACTTTGCGGGATCAGGTTCCTGTGAAGGATCTCGAAGAGGAGTGTACATAGAGTGAGCAGTCCAGTGCGGTACATAAGCCGCGACATCTTCCCCGTTATCGGTAAATTGAAGTGGTTGCTGGCGAGAGGACTCCGACTCCATGAAAAAGGAAGGGGAGAAGGGCTCCAGGAGATGTTACAAAAAGAGTATACAGAAGGGGAGATATAGTTTTGCGTGAGCCGCCGTAGCTCACTCCTCGCGAATCCCACGCTCTTGTGAAAGTCAAAACGAAGCGCCTGATGGATGGAGTTTCATCCAGGCCTACTCGGCCATGTTGCTGGCTTCATCCTTCCTTTCAGGACCCGAGAACCCCTCTCTGGATTCATCCACTTCCTCGCTGTCCTGTTTGCACCAGATTGGCGCTGATTCGTGCATTCCATGGCAAGCACAGCTAAGTATTATTGCCAAATTATTGCCAGCGACAATCTCAGAATCTCCCAATAATGGAGATTGCTTAGGACGTGATTATTCAGCGTGCTGCGTGAACAAAGACACAGAGAATATATCGCAAGGCAACTATAAAATCATCATCATTTCTTCCGTTCCTAGATGAACGTACAAATTTAAGACAGAGGTAGAAAAAATTTGGCATAGTAGTACTAGATACGCAGAGACGGGTCGCGTTCTGTTTCATATCATCTGGTGTATGCAGAGCAGTTAGCAGCCAAACTAGATGAGTCGTTCAAGTGGTGGGGATATGGGTGGCGTAAACGTTCAGAGTGTGACTCTTACCTGCTCCTTGTCGTCATATTGACTAGAACGAGGCGCATCGTGCTCAGCAGCGGCACTTGCGAACGTTGGTGGCACAGTTGCAAGGCTTGCACTTGCACCCGCGACCGGCTTTAGCGAGAGCCGTAGCGGAGCAGCACTCTCCAGAGGAGCCAATGGTGTCGATGATCTTGGCCTTGGCACCATACGCCAACAACAATGTCAATGTCGGACGCAATTCACATGATATGGGTCAATCAATACTCACAGCGGCCATATCATTCATAGACGCCTGGAAAATATGACTACATGATGTTAGACTAAGTGGGGTTGGAGACGAGGAGGATCTGACCTGGTGGGACTCCTGGCTATGGATGCTGCTAGCATCGGAGGCGGAGTCTGAGCCGCCTCCACAGCAGGAAGCGGTAGGAACTTGAAGTTCGACGGGTTCAAAGGTCATATCTAAGAAGACGGAAGTAGTGAGTAAGAGTGCAGTAAGGAGAAAGCGGAGGCGATTCACCAGTGGCGGCGGCGTCCATTGGTATTCTGTCGAGGTTGCTGATTCAGAGGATGCAGAGTTGGGTTGATAGAGCTGGGATGATGAATCCTGATAGTCCAGAGGTCCCTTTATATACAGCAGATGTTTACTGCTAGGCATGCATGCCGTATGAGCAAGCAGGTAACGTATCGTAGGATAAGTGGAACACCATCGGTTTGACGAGAACTTGCCAATTGAAAGCCAGACAAGTGGAAGCCTTCTCAGGCTGATGTGGGTTCTACGATCAACCAACTGACCCGAAGTCAGGGCTCATACTCCTCGCTACCCACCAGCGAAGATCGTGAATCGGACATTTTTTGGCCCGCTGCATGGAGAACAGGGAAAAGGTAGAATTGTTACACCCACAGACAAGAGTGTAAGCCAAGAGTTCTTTGTAAACGCAGAGAGGTCTGGATTACGAATAGGACTCGACTTCAAGTTTTACGCACATGAATATTGAGACTCCCAGTGTATGAGGGGAGAACGGCCACGAAGGCTCGTGTGCTCTTCTGAGAAGATTGACTGGCACCATAGAATGGAAGCAAGGTGTATTTGGGTCCTAGGATCTGGTGCGAACATCAGAAAATTTAAACATACAGAGTTGTCAGGATGACTGTACCTAGGAGAGTGATAAGTGATAGGAGAAGAATGGAGGTTAAAGCAGAACAAGCAAGGCGTCCCAGGTAGGTATAACAATCCAGTAAATGTACGTTTAGGCACTCGGCGCTATGGGTGACCTGATGTGTACATGCAGGATCCGTGGTTGCGAGAAACAGGGGCTACAAGCTCCAATGCGTAAATCACCAACGCCTCACAGATGATCGGTCCACAATGACGACGATGCGAAACCAGAAAGCATCGGACGTCATCTGACTGTAAGCATAGCGAAAAGTCTGAAGAGGAAGATACTCCAATTGAATAGGTCGCAGCCAGACGAGTCGAAAGAATTGGGACCCGATGTTGCCCGGTACTTGCGTTCCAACTTTCGATGGGTGGCGTGAGAGCGCTGGTTCTTGTAAAGCGGCTTGCGTGGCATCAGCTTCGAAGTACCAAATCAGTGTATTTGCACCTAGAGTTCTGCATGTTAGCACGAGGAAGCCTCAGGCCTCGTGCCTCCTGGTATGTGAGCGCCGAGAACGCGCGACCAAATCTAGCTACTAGGTTTTTCAAGGTGAGGCAGAGGGCCCAGATGCGGGTGGCGACTTCAGTATGCTTTATGGCGTTCCTATATTGTGGACTAGCTGCGTATCAGCTTGGAATCTCCTCGGAACATGGATATTTGACTTACTCGTGGACCATGCCATGCTTGACGACGCGACCATAAGCGGGACTATGAACAGATCGATAGTTAGCGAGTGCGATACCACGCCACTCGGAAAGCAGCCGTACACCGGCTCGCAGTCCCCTTACCTCCGAACCTCATCATATGCCACGCCCTCCCTGCAAGTTCACCCATTCGCGCTTGCAAAATGTCCAAGAATACTGCCTCCATTATTGCTAGCTCTACCGCCTCTATCGCCACCTCGCCACCATTTGCATTATTGTCCACTCTCGCACTATCCCTATTCGGCCCGTCGAAGACCTCCTCGCCGTCTTCGCCGTCACTGTACGACCTAGCATAACCCTGAGAGCCCAACGAACTCGAAAAAATCCGTCCATGCCCTCACGCCGCTTCTGTCCTCCTAGCTCTGGACACCTCGCCATCGGACTTACAGGACTTCTGACCAAATCTCTATTCCTGCCATTTACCTTCAAACCATCATATCTGAAAGGAAGCGGTCAGATTGTGCGCCGGGACCAGCCCCGGAAGCATTGCCAGCGTTAGAAGAGCCGAGAGGACGCCTAGGCTTGCGAACTCCTTCCCTTCCTCCGGTACAGCAGACAAATCTGGACCAACGATGTCGATACCACCAGCTGGGCCAGTCGGTTTATACGCCGCTCCTTCCTTCTCCGCGAGAGTGCGTTCGACATTGGGCATGAACAAAGATGAAAACTGAGGGGGCCAACGATACCTGTGTTCGCACTGGCGGTGGTCTGAATTGGGATATGGAACATGCTTTGATGGTCGCGCCCAGAGTTCTTGTAGTTTTCGTCGTAGTTTTCGGGGAGGGAGGTTTGTTCGGAGATGAATTGTCGAAGAATATTAGAATATGGCCGGTCTAGATAAATATAAAGCGCGTTAGTTGAGTCGAAACATTGTGTGATACAGGGCAGCATTGATCCGATAACAAATATGAATACGTCCATCCTCGATGGCAGTCTGGTCGTAATCAATACTTTTCAGATTCCTCCACCAGTTGTCTTCAGGCTTCGCCCCGACGTTTTGCGGCGAAATATTCTCGAGAAATAGTAGTATAACACCACCCACCCACCCAGAAGGTGCGACTATATGATCTCTGATCAGACTGTTAGGTTCTCTGTGAAAGGGAATGTGTCACGAACGGGTGCCGGGGAATATATCCCAGTGGATAATGCTGGCGAAGGATCGGGCTGAATGAAGAGTATATATCCTGCATATTGTCGAATAATCTACAATATTGGAGGTTGTGAGGCCCTATCCACGTCGTAAGTCCCACAGACATTTTGCGGTAGACAAGGAAAGAAATCTTATACTCTGGCAGGCTCACTGTCTTCAAAATCGGCATGGCTCCATGCGGCGTCTGCATCTCCCTCATCCTCGACGCTCGAACTCCGACAAAATCCTTGAGGTTATCGTCTATTACACCTGAATTCGTACACGTCACGATTGTGTTGACGTTCGGATTATCAGTGTTCAACGACGATGCTTCGAATACGCCAGTCCATGTATCTCACGAGCTTGTTCAATTGAGGGGTATAGAAACGGACGTACTGCTGTAGACTGGTGAATGGCCCTCCCGGAGATTTTGCTTCTTCCGTGATACGTCCTATTCGTGGATGACCCTCATCATCAAAACCTTCTATCATGCTAATTGGACCAGGCAGTTGGACACTGAACACCCAATGTAATGCACGAGTATATTCTGTCAAGAACAACGACTTTTGTTCTCTCGGCAATCAATCGCAGCAGTGGAACGACTAGCCGGCATTGGTCGGCAATTCCCGAGTGATCTCGTTTGTTTGCACATGTTGACTCAGCATAGGGGAACAGTTGTCTCTATCTCGTCCGTCGCGGCTACATTGCCACTCGCCATGACTACCTCTGAGGCTCTGGACTACGTCTATAACCATGGTTGGGGCCATCAATGGCCTCGCCACGACGGCACAATCTCAAAGACCGACATTGGTATTCCTCGTGACATTGAACGTACCGATGAGGACGACGTCGCTATCGACATTCCCGATCACTGGGACTATACTTGCCTCGAAAACATTCGCCTCGTCGCTCGTGCACTTGGTATAATCACAAAAATCTCGGACTTCCTCGTCATTCGCTCTGAATATCACCTGCTGCGGGATATGATTGAGAGACACAGTAGCACAGGCGCGTTCGTGGTGATGGGACAGCCAGGGATCGGTTCGTAAGACAGCCATTTTAGCTTCAACCCGAATAACGATTTCTTCTACCTGCTCTCTTAGGCAAAACGATGTTTCTTATATACCTTCTTTTGTATCGCCTTGAACACAAACTTCCGACGGCAATCCAAGTTGGCCACGATCGTTACTTCGTCTTCGATGACAAATGCGCTTCGTTGCATCGTACGGTTGATGAAGCCGAGCCGTGACTCAGCTCGTGTTGGGCATTGGCCGACAGCAACCTCCATGCTGTTCAGCCATGTGAACACTTTTTAAGCCAGCCCGAAGTTTTCATCCAGTCGTCGTCGCCGAAACCAGAGAGGTGGAAGGATTGGTTGAATCAGAAGATGGGCGCGCGTATATACGCAGAGCTGCCGACCTTGTTGGAGATCGCTGCGATTCTGTAAGTCGAGTCAGTGCTTGTCCCTGGCATATATCTGCTCACGAAGATTTGTATAGCCATGAGCTCCATTCCGTCTCATCTTTCGCATTTCGACTCGTGACCAAGTGGGGACCATCGACTAGGACGATCATCTCCATTGCGAGTGCGATGCTCCAGGATCCTGAGGACGCCGAAGAGATTGAAGAAAACCAGAAGGCCGAGGCAGAACGGGCGGCAGACAAGTTATGCTCCGCTCGGTCGCTCGTCGCCTCGAAAGTAGCCGGCGGCGGTATACCAGACAGCCACGGTTCCGCCGTCGGCTTCGTTCGCCCTCACCGTAGATTCACATCGAACGGCAAAATCGCCGCGTCATCTCGAGCAATCTGGTTTATCCCGACGACGTTCCTCGACGAAATATTTGCGAAATGTTGCACCAACTTCTCTAACGAGAAGTCCCACGATCTCTTCATCGCCTTCAGTTCCCATTCTCTGACTCGAACCACTGCAGGCTGGCAGCATGAAATGAATGTTCATCGGCGCCTCACCACAGTTGGCGTACCACCTCCCACCATCTTTAACCACGATCGATCAGAGGAGATGCAGATGCATCCGTCGGCCCACCTCGTTCCTGGCACAGCGACCGGCCTGAAGCAAACCAGTGCCGACGAAGTGTTCTATTGGATGCCGTCCGTGATCAATTGGGAGGGAATCGACGGTGTCCTCGGCGATACCGACAACAACGTCTACGCCGTGCAGGCGACTATCGCGTCGGACCACAGCAGTCCCGCCGAGGGCCTGAAGAAGGCGTGGCTGGGTGTCGCCCCGAGCGTTCGATCGCAATGTCGTTGGCACTTGGTTGTCGTCGCCGACAACATAGCAGCGGCTGGTGGACTTGTGAAACAGTTTTCAAGCCAGTTAGAGGACTTCAAACTCGGCCCTGGCAAAGGAGTACGGGTGCAGGTGTGGGGTTGTGTCCTAGATTAATCATTCCGTCTGAACTCTTCCTCCTGCAACCACATCATCCATCGCTTCTTTTGATCTCCTCTGCTCTCGATATGCGATGTCAATTTCCGTGACTCGTTCCGGTGCCCTTAACCATTTTTGTCCAGTATACTGTCTGCGTACCTGAGAAGAACTGATTGTAGCCTGTGAGTCCAGCAGCTGAGCCCAGCCGAGCTCGACATGGACCTACCCGAACTCGACATATGGCCTCCGTACAAACACCTAAACCGTGATCAGACGGGAAATGGCATTGAGACAGAGACGAGAGGGTCAGATGTCTCAACCATAGCATTCGTCTTTTGTTTAGGGGCATGAAGTAAGAGGGGTAGACATAAGTACTTTCTTCGTTAGTCCCGTCATTCTTGCTCTGCGCTCTGCCCCCTCTCCTTCCCTTCATTCGCCTCATCCACCCAACTTCTCCACTCAACCATAACCCCCTCCAACTTCGCTCCCATCTTCCTATCATCACCGTTCTCTCCGCCCGGTACCTCCAAAGAAACTCCGTAAATGCCCTCACGCAGACCCCTCGTCAAAAATGGAACAAGCAACCTCAACCAAACCTCACCCGCCCGCCTGATCACTAATATTTACCTCTCCCTCCCTCCCTTCACTGTCCCTGTCTCGTTGTCATCTCCTTCTGCCCCACCCAAGCCATCCTCGACGGTCTTCACATAGTCCACCAATACCTCCCCACTCCTCGCCAACGCCGCATCCAAGTCCGATAAGAGAACGGGCAAAGGGTGGCGTTTACATACACCGCGGGTGAGGGGTACGAAGTCAACAGATGTGGCGGAACATGTGCCGGCGTCCCATCCAACATGTTTGCCTGAACCGCCTGCGGAACCTGTATCGTGCCTAGAGTGGTTATCGAAACCAACCACATGCTTGGCAATCCCTTCCCCTTCGCTGATGTTCCCAATTACGTCTGGAGGAGGAGAGCGTTGGGGTGCTTGAGCGGACGGGCAGCGGCATTGATGATCCGGTCGTTGTAGAAGAGGTAGAAGGTGTGAGGAAGATCCAATATTGGGTGACAACGTCATGTACGCCTTCCCTCTACACATCCACAGATATCTAACCCACCCTGAGCTCTATGAATGCCTTAAAGATTCCTTCGGTCCTGTCTTTGACTACATAAAGGAGACTGTACATTTATTTTCTTGCTGAGTTTGCGCCACAGTGCCACATTGAGCGTTTCTGAACATAACCTCTACCCAGTTTTTCAACTATCTTCCTCAGGAGTTTGATGAGATGACAGTATATGCTACTGTTCTTCCCGGGAACAACATCTCTGACGTAGACCCTTGGCTCTCCTGGGTAGTTAATCTGAACGTACTCACACGCCTTCACCGTGATACAAAAGATATAGGTTGGTGTTTAGATCTTGTCATTACAGACAAGGACTTCAGAGGTGGTGAGCTTGGTATGGTAGAGTTAGGTCTTGTTCTTCCTCTTCAGAACGGTGACTTCTGCATATTTCGTTCTATGGATATTACTCACTTTAATCTAGAATTTGTGGGGGAGAGATGCTCTTTTGTCTTCGCCACTTGTAAGGAGTTTGCATCTTGGGAGAAGGATCGTCATGGTTGGGAGAGTAATAAGTTCATGACCTAGTTATTTGTATTTATATATATCCTCATCTCCTTAGCTTATCTTCTGAATTGTTTACTTTGACTATATTTTACTAATAGTGCTGGTAAGTACGCTCTTGATGTGGCATCACCTTGCTTTGTTTATATTTACATCTATTTGGCCTGTGTTGATTTTCATGGCTTACCTACTTTGCCACGTCTACCCTACCCTACTCTCTACTCCTAGTTCTACAGCCTTCTTTATTTCTTGCTCAATAGTATGGCACGCATTACAAGACGTTCTAATGCTAACACTGGCCTCAGCTCTGGCAAGAACACCAGGAAGTCTAAGGAGATCAGGCGCGTCAAGGTATGAGCCTCTATTTTTCACACGTCGTTCTTCATCATCATTCCATGGCACAGAGCTTGAGAAATCAGTCCCACTTGTGGCAAAGAAGAACCAGCCTACGTCCACCAAGGCCAAGGCTAAAGCAACCCCCAAACATGATAGCACGGTTCGTGATAGCTTGTTTTATTCTTAGCAATCCCTATTTCTGACGGCATAAATGTAGCCCCAGCCTCCACCGTCATCCGAGGATGAGGAGGAGGAGGATGTTGTGATTCAAGAGAAACCTTCCAAGACTGTTACGCGTAAGAGGGCTGCCTCTCAGCCCACTCCTGACCCTGTTCCCGCGCAGAAGACCAAGAAACAGAAAAAACAAGAGGAGCAGGCTGAGCGTGCTGAGCGCTCAAAAGGTGTGTAATCTTGTCGTACTGTATTATCAATTATTACACCTATATAATCTGACTTCTGTTCTTAGCTGTCCAGGCTGTCAACAGGCTGCTTTTGAACAGAGAGGCCACTGCTCAAGCGTTGTCAGCTCCTGCAACGCGCCCTAACTCACCGTGTTCTGAGTCAGAGCCTCAAGGCGTAGCACAGGAACAGGATCTTGCTAACCGTTTGAAAGATATGTTTTCTTTATTATTCACTATAATGGATTAGTGACGCTGTTCTAGCCCTTGACAGCATAGGGCAGGCAGTCAATGACAAGAATGCGCAACAGGACGATGACGACGGTGACGATGGTGACGATGTGGGTGATGATGCTCATGAGCAACACAAAGGTAAGTATATTGTCTTACATGCTCTCCATGGATTGTTCTGTGAGCTGACAGTCTCTTGAAGGATCACAGGATGATGACTCATCTCAGTCATCTGAAGACGAGTCTACTGATGCTGAACAGGACGACACCACAGACGCTGCACCAAACAAGGAGAAGATCACTGATATCTTCGCGGATGACGCATGTTTACATCTCATTCATCTCTTCTGTAGCTAATATATGTTCTCTCCTGTTATATTCTTCAGATGTGCTCTGAACCTGTCAACGCTACGTCTGGGGCCGGAAAGAAGACCTCCAAGAAACGCAAGACCGTGCAACCCACCTCCGATGTGGTCGCAGTCTCCGGCAATCGCTCTCCCTTCCGAAACGGTGCCGCACTTCTGCATAAGGCTGCTCAAATCCGCCTGCGCCTCATCATTCAACTTTTGAATGCCTTCCCAAAGCCTGATACTCGGGGCGACGTGGTTGTCGACTGCCTTAAGGACCTTCTGGAGGGTGTCAAGAGATATAGGACAATCTGGATGCGTCTCAGTGAGGACCATAAGAAGCTCATGATATATTTTGTGAGTCATTACTCTCTCTCTCTCTCTCTCTCTCTCTCTCTCTCTCTCCATTTTGTTCATTATCTGAGATTATACGTCTGCGCATCATCACGCATCTGTGTGGCGTGTGGCGTGTGGCGTGCGTGGTGTCTAGACTTGGAGGACTGTGGCACAAGTACGTGGGGAGTGGAAGCTCACTACGTATCCCATTGTCAAGCTTGTATACTTTGATGCTCTTGTCAATGGGAACTTGGCCAGTCAACGTCAGGCATATGCGAAGTGGTTGCTTGGGGAGAACGATAGTTCAATGGATGTGTTTGTTTTTGGTGACATCGTTTATAATGAGGAGGTACGTCTATTCCATGTTTATTATGTTTGAGCCTGTTGATAATGTTTTATTGCATACCAAGATTAAGGACTGGAACTGGCAGGCCCCGTACTTCAACAGGGTCTTCACTGACGTTATCAAGGCTCAATGCTTCGAGCGTGGACAGAGGCCTGATGGCATCAAGAATATCCATGAGTTTGCAGACTTATGCATCCCTCTTGTAGGTCTGGCTGCAGTTGTGGTACATGTTCTTAGCTTCTGTATGATTATTGAGTTGAGTTGATAATATTTGTATATATGATAGGTTGAGAATTGTATACGTGGATATGTAGAGAGCGGTATCTATGGTAAAGGTATTGAGTTCAACGACACTAACTGTAGCGCATGGTGAGTTCTTGTTCAGATTCTGTTTATATCTTCTTGCTAATATTGGCTAGCCATCATTATCATGTGGAGCGCCTCACCCTCATCAATGAGAAGTCCAAGGGTGCTATCATCTACTTCTACTCCAACGCCTTCAAGACAATCCTGTGAGCTATTTGTATTGTGTACTATTCTTTCTCTCTCATTGTTGAATATTACTATCGTTCTTAGCAAGGAGTTGAACCTCATGCACTTGATCGCCAAGGCCACAGACATCAAGGACAAGACTGACTATGAGGCTCTTGCAGCTATGGTTCCTGCAAATGTGGAAGCTCCAGGTAAAATATTCGTTCTCGCTCTACAACATTCTTTTGTAGACTTGTACTGATGTTTGCTTGTGCAGTTGACTCTGCTTGACTGGAGGGGTTCTGTTATATCTATTTGTCCTCTTTTTGATGCTATCCACCTCATTTCTTGATCTCTGTCTGCTCTGCCTGTCTGCTCTGCCTGTCTGTATATACATATGCTCTCAATGATACTGTAGTTTTTCGCGCACAAGTTCGTGTCCCGTGTCCCATGGGAGCCGCGAACGAACTTGTGCCGCGGGACAGTCCCACCCCATTGACGTGCACTGAACTTGTAAATGGGACAAACCAAAATTTGACGAAAATTTAACGAAAATGCGAATATATTCTAGGCTCCTAAATTGACCTCAGGAAGGCCCCCACGGCACACTTTGGGCTAGATTTTACTACTGGGTGAGCTCTTCCACCCCAATGCAGAGGATGAATGGCTGTTGAGCAGTTATGAAAGGTCGTATTCCTGAAATGGCGTCGATGTTCACGAACATTGTCCCTTGTCCCGGTCTGCTTGCGAACCGGGACGCGAACGGATTATGTCATCTCGGCAACGGCCGAGGGCGGTGGCGTGAACTTGTGCGCGAAAAAGTACAGTAGTTTGTCTTGCCTGTAGCACTGTGTGAGCTGTTATGAGATCTGAGTGACCACTGATGAACTATAGCTGTAGCATAAATAGTACAGATATAAATGCTCTCAAAGCTCTTAGTGATATCAGTGCCTTTAATGCCCTCAAGAGCTGTGAGAGCAATGATAGCTCTCAGATCACTGAGAGATATTTGAAATATGAAATTTGTACTATTATGGGGGGTTGATATATATCACAAATGGTCTCTCATAGATAAATCTGATATGATATCACCATAATGCTATGATATTTTGAGTAGCAGTTTCCTGATTTCCTGATGCAGGGGTGGGTGTGAATAACTGATTTGACTATAGCTTAACCTAAGTACCTACCTACCTACTTAACTTACCTCGGGTTTGGGATCTATATCCTGTGATGGCCTTGCATGATTATCAATGATCGTCAAGAGTGATGGTAGATGGCTATTTGTAGGAAATCAGAGAAACTGAGACACCTATTTCGTACGGTGGTCTCAAAAGCCGGAACCCCACCTGGGCGCGGTCTCGAAAGATAATAGAAAGGCATAAAAGGGTCGTAAGGGTCATAGAGCCCACGTGTACTAACGTGGGCCTGAGCCCTGCGCGACCATCGAGAGCGTCTCGGATGGGTCGGCAGGGCGAGGCCGCATATGATATGGTAGAAAAGAAGAAAGAAAAAGAAAAGAAAAGAAACCTGAAGCTTCAGGCTGCCGCGGCTACCCGATGAACGGTGCGGCAGATGGTACCTTCAGTACACGCGAGTCGAGTTCGGGTCTGATGGCGATACCGCCTGTACTCGCCCTACCTGCCGTTCGAGGCACGATAGGGCGATGTCGAGAGGGTGGCGATACCGCCTGCACTCGCCGTAGACCGCCGGTTGAGGCGAACTAAGGCGACGTCGAGAGAGAAAAAGAGACGAGACAAGAGAAAAGACGATGAGTGCAGCAGATGCGATTAGCCGATGCCAGCGAAGCAAGTAAATACAGGCGGTTCAAACTCCGACAAGCTCCGACTCGAGATAAGATAAGATAATCAACAACTGAAGGCTGCGAAATTTATTCTACATCTAAAATACTCCCTAGCGGGAAAATGTGTGTTACAAATCCCCCCCAATTTCGCAGTCTTTGGATGCATGACTTAGATGAAGTGCATACAACCATCAACCACAAACTTTGCAGTGAATGGGGTGAAGGGATATGGAAATGAAGGTCTCTTGATGTGATGAAAG